CCCCCCCCCAAAAAAAAAAAACCCGCCCCCACCATTTTCCAAGCGAATTTGAAGGTGTGGCTCCCATTTCTTCTTCTGAAACGTGATAAATCTCACTCTCCTTTTTGGTACGTCTTTTTCTCTAAATTTGATAAGTCAATATAGTAGGAAAAAATAAATAATTGTTACACAAGATTTTTTTTGGGCATGATAAAACATACAAATTTGTATATAGATTCCCTTCAATATTCTCTTGATTTTTCTCCTTTATGGATAAGNTCTTTTTCTCTAAATTTGATAAGTCAATATAGTAGGAAAAAATAAATAATTGTTACACAAGATTTTTTTTGGGCATGATAAAACATACAAATTTGTATATAGATTCCCTTCAATATTCTCTTGATTTTTCTCCTTTAGGGATAATCGATCCACTATATATTATTATTTACTGGTAAAGATGTCCAAAGAACTTTATTTGAATTCGTGATAAATAATTTCCTACAGATAAAATAAAAAAAATACATTAAAAGGGATCTCATTCCGTAAAATCAAGTTAATAGATTTGAAAGAATAGTAAATAAGGATTTGACNATCGATCCACTATATATTATTATTTACTGGTAAAGATGTCCAAAGAACTTTATTTGAATTCGTGATAAATAATTTCCTACAGATAAAATAAAAAAATACATTAAAAGGGATCTCATTCCGTAAAATCAAGTTAATAGATTTGAAAGAATAGTAAATAAGGATTTGACTGGTCTGTTAAAATTGAAGGACCAAATAGAAATCTGATTAATACTTTGAGGGTAGAAAGTGTAAATTACTTTTTATAGTTTTGTTAGTCCAAACACTGTCGCCTTTCTCTGTCTCTCTCCTCCGGATTACTCTGTTAAAGTCATTCTCTCTCTAAAAATCTGTGTTTCTCTCTCATCCCAAAACTGATTATCAGATCAACCATTCCCATAGATTCTCTTTCTCTCTCTACATCTTCACTTCAATTTTTTTGCTGATCTCAACTCATCCTCTCTCTCTCACACGCACTCTCACACACAAACACGCACACAGTAACCTCGAGCTCAGCCAGCCGTCACTCACCGAAATCAGTAAAGTGTCGTCACATCTCCGATCAGTTCTATCTCCTTCTCTCTGAAACTAACTTTCTCTGCTTTGTCTTTACTTTAAGCTCGCTCTGAACTCTGTCGCTTTTGATTGTAAAATTAGGAACCGCATGCTCAGCATTTGTTGCATTTGAACAGATTTTTTTTCCTATAGTTCCTGCAATTACTGCAAGTGCACATAAAGATTTTGACTCCTGATTTGATTTTTTTTCGAAGTGAATTTGGGGATTTTAGTTGGACTGTGAAGTTACTGGGTGAATTGATGAATGGGAGGGTTTGGAGTTGAGAATGGGATTGGGGACCATAGAAATTTGTTTGTAGATTTGGTGTTTTTGGGGAAGTTTTTTCCATGTCGCGGATCGATAGGATGACTTCGGATGTTAACAGGACGGGTGGACAGGTTGAAAGGGATTCCAAGCAGGTATTATTTATTTAACATTGACTTTTTGGAGTTATATTCATTTTTTGATTTCTTATTTGGTATAATTTGTTCAATGTTGTTACTAGCAAGCTCAGAGACTTAGACTGTATACCAGTACTATGAAATAGACTGGATCTCCACTTTATTTGTATCTCTGTGTGGCTAGGTTGTAATTGGCAAACTCAAAACTTGGACTGGACTAGTGCTAGGCTGAGAACACACTTTATTTTGTGTATTGGGGTATGTTGTTACGGGGCAAATGCAGAAATTTCTATGGGCATACTTGTATATCAAATAGACTGAACACGGAACACCTACTTTGATTGTGCCTATGTGTCGTCATTGGCAAAATCACAACTTAATTAATGTACTGGTAATATGATGTAAACTATTTGCAAACTCACAACTTAGTTAATGTACTGGTAATATCAAGTAGACTCAAGACCCGCTATATTGAATCTCTAGTTTGTAATTGGCAAGCATTGAAACTTGAGCTGCACGCCATTCTACGAAACTGACTGCTAATCAACACAAACGATAATTTACCCAAAAAACAAAGACTGATAACCCACTTTACATGCAAAGAGTTATTCCCCAGTTTGATCCCCACTAATCGAGGGTGCTAGGAGTGGGACTGGGCCCAGACCTTTATGCAAAGTGGTTGTTATCAGATTAGAGCCCATAACCTTATTGTTGTTAGGACATAGGCCAACATTTTTTGCCACAGTTTCAAGCAATGCATATAATTCTAGGTTTATTAAACCATTAGGTGCAAACATTTCTGTTTTTCTTGTAGAATGCAATTTGGGGTTTCTTTCATTTGCTGATGCATGGGGCATTTGTAAGGTTTGGGGACACCAATGAGGCATCTTTTGATGATATTAGAATATCATGTGAGGTTGAGTTGGCATTGTTAAAATAACTGAACCAACCATTGTTAAAGTGCGCAGTATAAACTATTAACGAATCCATATTGAATGGCTTGAAGCCTTGAACAAACTTACCTGAAATTACACATTGCACTCCAAACTGCTTCTAGGAAAGTTAATTTCTATCTTTGCCATTTGGTGCAACAAATTTTTTTGGCCAACCTCATATTGCTTGGTGTTAGGATGTTTATCTTTTTATGTTGTAACACGTCTGATTCTAAAGTTCATCTGGATATAAGAGATCAAGTGTAGATTTTAAATTTTAAGCTGAGCCTCAAGGAAATTCAGTGCATATTTCGAGACCTAAGATAAGTATTCTACAATACCCCTGCAAAATCAACATGCAGAATAGTAGAGATTTAAGTGTAGATTTCAAATTTGAAGGTGAGACTGAAGGGAATTAATTGTGTAAATTGAGACCAAAGATGAGAATTATATTGTACACCTGCAAAATCAGCTTGCTGATTGTTATGTACTAAGTAGCTTGCCAAGTCTAGCTATTTTTGTTTTCTGATGATGCATCATTTTTGTAAGCCATCACTCGTTCAGTTGTTGCATCCAAGTGGAGAATATTTTGGAATTTGATGAACTCAACTGAGTTTTATTTTATTTCAACTGCATGGACTAAGTGACAAGAATTATGACTTACTTTCTCGTCCTCCCTCACTTGACGAAACCCCTCAACCCCCTCTGTATTGCTCATTCTTGCATAAAGTTGAACAATGGGTTGCCCTAATAATAATTCAAGTTTAAACTACGTCGGCATTGGTTTGATTTAGTTTGTCACAGTGGAATCTGAGAAGAATTGAAGTAAATTAAGGATTGGAGCTATTGGTTCCTATATAATGATATGACCTGATTGGATGGGTTAGAAGTAAATAGATTTATTCTGATTTTATCAATGAATTTTGGTGGTTGGGTACACAAACAGAAGAAAATCTTTGTTTAAATTCCGTAACAAACTGGTAGTGTTCAACATGTTTTTATTTATTGGGAGCAGGGTGCGAAACTTTGTTGCTGTTGCCTCTGGAGGCACTACCCTCTTTGGGCGCCAATGGGCCTAAATGAACTCCCTCTCATGGTTAACAAAGTGGTTAAATGTCTGACATGAATTTAGATTGTCAAGCTTGAAATACCCGATGATGGTAGTGAAAACTTGGGTTGGTCGGAGTTTCATTCTTCCTACTGGAGGTGTGGAAATGTGGATAACAAGCCACCTTACAACTGTTCCCTCTATCCTTGTGTTGCTGTAACGTAGCAGCTTCCAATTTTTGGGGACCAAGCAAGGCATAGTTAGTAGCATAGGAGCCGACTCAGCATTCTTGACTTCATACTGAGTAGCGGTTGTCTGATTTTGCACTAACTGTGTCATTGTCAAGAAACCCAAAACTGTAAAATTGTTGGAACAAGAGACCCAAAACCCAAAACCCAAAACAAACTAAATATAGACCAACTTTCATTAAAATGAACATACACCGAACACACTAAGCTTCAAACTAAGTCTAGCACAAAAGAGTAAGTATAGTTTGCCCAAATAGTCATTTTAGACTGACAATGAAATGCTTGGTGAACAAAATTCAACCTATATTTATCATATGTGTTCCCACCCCTAGCAGTGCAAGGTGCTCTTGGCCAGAGAACAGATTGTTGGTCTGTAAATGATACCATACGGTNGTCATTGGCAAAATCACAACTTAATTAATGTACTGGTAATATGATGTAAACTATTTGCAAACTCACAACTTAGTTAATGTACTGGTAATATCAAGTAGACTCAAGACCCGCTATATTGAATCTCTAGTTTGTAATTGGCAAGCATTGAAACTTGAGCTGCACGCCATTCTACGAAACTGACTGCTAATCAACACAAACGATAATTTACCCAAAAAACAAAGACTGATAACCCACTTTACATGCAAAGAGTTATTCCCCAGTTTGATCCCCACTAATCGAGGGTGCTAGGAGTGGGACTGGGCCCAGACCTTTATGCAAAGTGGTTGTTATCAGATTAGAGCCCATAACCTTATTGTTGTTAGGACTTAGGCCAACATTTTTTGCCACAGTTTCAAGCAATGCATATAATTCTAGGTTTATTAAACCATTAGGTGCAAACATTTCTGTTTTTCTTGTAGAATGCAATTTGGGGTTTCTTTCATTTGCTGATGCATGGGGCATTTGTAAGGTTTGGGGACACCAATGAGGCATCTTTTGATGATATTAGAATATCATGTGAGGTTGAGTTGGCATTGTTAAAATAACTGAACCAACCATTGTTAAAGTGCGCAGTATAAACTATTAACGAATCCATATTGAATGGCTTGAAGCCTTGAACAAACTTACCTGAAATTACACATTGCACTCCAAACTGCTTCTAGGAAAGTTAATTTCTATCTTTGCCATTTGGTGCAACAAATTTTTTTGGCCAACCTCATATTGCTTGGTGTTAGGATGTTTATCTTTTTATGTTGTAACACGTCTGATTCTAAAGTTCATCTGGATATAAGAGATCAAGTGTAGATTTTAAATTTTAAGCTGAGCCTCAAGGAAATTCAGTGCATATTTCGAGACCTAAGATAAGTATTCTACAATACCCCTGCAAAATCAACATGCAGAATAGTAGAGATTTAAGTGTAGATTTCAAATTTGAAGGTGAGACTGAAGGGAATTAATTGTGTAAATTGAGACCAAAGATGAGAATTATATTGTACACCTGCAAAATCAGCTTGCTGATTGTTATGTACTAAGTAGCTTGCCAAGTCTAGCTATTTTTGTTTTCTGATGATGCATCATTTTTGTAAGCCATCACTCGTTCAGTTGTTGCATCCAAGTGGAGAATATTTTGGAATTTGATGAACTCAACTGAGTTTTATTTTATTTCAACTGCATGGACTAAGTGACAAGAATTATGACTTACTTTCTCGTCCTCCCTCACTTGACGAAACCCCTCAACCCCCTCTGTATTGCTCATTCTTGCATAAAGTTGAACAATGGGTTGCCCTAATAATAATTCAAGTTTAAACTACGTCGGCATTGGTTTGATTTAGTTTGTCACAGTGGAATCTGAGAAGAATTGAAGTAAATTAAGGATTGGAGCTATTGGTTCCTATATAATGATATGACCTGATTGGATGGGTTAGAAGTAAATAGATTTATTCTGATTTTATCAATGAATTTTGGTGGTTGGGTACACAAACAGAAGAAAATCTTTGTTTAAATTCCGTAACAAACTGGTAGTGTTCAACATGTTTTTATTTATTGGGAGCAGGGTGCGAAACTTTGTTGCTGTTGCCTCTGGAGGCACTACCCTCTTTGGGCGCCAATGGGCCTAAATGAACTCCCTCTCATGGTTAACAAAGTGGTTAAATGTCTGACATGAATTTAGATTGTCAAGCTTGAAATACCCGATGATGGTAGTGAAAACTTGGGTTGGTCGGAGTTTCATTCTTCCTACTGGAGGTGTGGAAATGTGGATAACAAGCCACCTTACAACTGTTCCCTCTATCCTTGTGTTGCTGTAACGTAGCAGCTTCCAATTTTTGGGGACCAAGCAAGGCATAGTTAGTAGCATAGGAGCCGACTCAGCATTCTTGACTTCATACTGAGTAGCGGTTGTCTGATTTTGCACTAACTGTGTCATTGTCAAGAAACCCAAAACTGTAAAATTGTTGGTACAAGAGACCCAAAACCCAAAACAAACTAAATATAGACCAACTTTCATTAAAATGAACATACACCGAAAACACTAAGCTTCAAACCAAGTCTAGCACAAAAGAGTAAGTATAGTTTGCCCAAATAGTCATTTTAGACTGACAATGAAATGCTTGGTGAACAAAATTCAACCTATATTTATCATATGTGTTCCCACCCCTAGCAGTGCAAGGTGCTCTTGGCCAGAGAACAGATTGTTGGTCTGTAAATGATACCATACCTATGCTTTGCACTCAATTTTTGGCTTGTTTTCATATAGGAGCTGGTTTTGTTAAGCCAATCAACCTCTATTGCTCCTTGGATCCCCATCTTTTTCCTTGTTGGTCAGTTAGCAGTCTTGTGCTAGCCTGGGGTTCGGAACACACCCCCCCCCCAAAAAAAAAAAAAAAAACTAAACAATAGCTGTCTTCTTTTTTCGAAAGGCTGCTAAGGGGAAAAAAGTGCTTTTTACTGAGGTCACCAGCCTTGCTTCACATGATCGAAAATTCTTAGTTGGCTTGGTCTCCCCTTGACTTCATATGGTGTCACCTTCAACATCCTTTGTGGATTGAAGTTTGGTTTGTCGTTTCATTTCTTTTCACTTTTTGATTTGCTTTTGGATAGGCGAAGTTTGATTATAATGGACCGTCACTTGGATCAATGGTAAATGTAGCTGAGTTATGATTTCATTTGTAATAGCTAATTCGTTTTGACTGCCACATCTCAGCTATGCTATTTTGGGTAGTAAATTTTTGCATCATTTCTCAGGGAATAGCAAAGTAAATGAGACTTTCTTCATCTGGATTTGTTTCCTACTGCTGTAATTTACAACCATTATGAGAATTTTCATTCTTTTTTCGTTTTTTGTCTTTTCTTCTTTTGATAAGTTGCCGTGATTTTGTTTCTTTCTGGCTGCAATTGCGCTGAATTGTGTTTAATTAGGTTCTTGGCTGATCTTTACAGCAGGCCATTACTTCTCTTAAGAAAGGGGCATATTTGCTCAAGTATGGGAGGAGGGGAAAGCCAAAGTTTTGCCCCTTTCGGCTGGCAAATGTAAGTTAGATCCAATGCCCCTAAATATTGTGCTTTTTTTTTTTATATGTTATTAACTTATTATCCCTCCCCCACCCAAACAAAAGGCAAAAAGGAAGAAGAAGGGAAAAGGCCCTTTTATGCATATGTTTCCTCTATCTGATGTTCAAATAATCAGACATGGTATTGATGCTTCATTAATGATATGCTAATCTATTCTATGCTGTAGCAAACATTACCGATGTTCGATGTATATGATTTAGCTTTTGGTAAATAATGTAATAAGGTACTTTCATTTTTAAACTTCATCAGGATTTTGCTACGAATTCATGAAGAATACTTAAGTAAGAAATTTGAGGTGAATGGGTTCAATAAAGTAGGTCATATATTAATCAGCCACTACCTCTTTCTTCTGACTGATGTAGGTGATCTTTCTACACCGTTAAATGATAACTGCGACTGAGTATATATACCTTTGGAGTCTTTTACAAATAGTTTTACGTATAAAAAATGTGGTCCTGATCATCCTTACAAAGTCATCCAGAATAAATCCAAGGATAAGGTGATATGTCTACATTTTGGTAGCTTTTGTGTTCATCAGCTGCTATATATGGTACATTTAACTATTCAAAAGTTGATGCTGGTAATGTTGCTATTATGATGGGAACTTTTCAAGTTATGCATTCACGGGGTTGTCATTTGACCTCCAACTTAGTGTTTTACAACTAACTATTACATTCATCCTAACTATTCAGTGCTGCATCTATGATTCTTTAGTCCACCACTTTTGTCTAAATGCCAAACATATCGTGGAATCATTACTTTAACATTCGGCATTGAAAGAATGTTGTTTCATTACAACCATTTTTTACACTTATAAACACCATTACTGTTTTTGACCTATGCTATGATCATATTCATTTCATGCCATAGCAGCATACACGAGACACCTATGCATTTTATATGCATAGTAGTGGTTCTTTTCCATGGCTTCCTATGATGACATTTACTTTTATTTTTCTTGTTAAATGCTCAACTCTGCCGTTTTTGTATTATGTTATCTGTGAGTAGCAGTGTTTGCTTGATTCATGCAACTAGATACAACTAGAGAGTTCAGTACTAAACGTTCAAGAATTGACTGTGGTAAATGGTTTCAGGATGAGTCTGTTCTAATATGGTTCTCAGGGAAAGAGGAGAAACACCTTAAACTTAGTGAGGTGTCCAGAATCATCTCTGGGCAGCGCACTGTAAGTTTCTTGCTCTCAAGTCTTCATCTGTCTGTTACTACTCTATCATGACTTCTCTACATTCAGAAGAATATAAGTGTGTGGCCACAGAAGTTGATGATCTGTAGATAAACATTATGTCTTCTCTATATTGTAGTACTATGCTTGTTGTCACATTTTTGTTTCTGGTAAACTGCTACCATGATTCAGGTTATTCAGTTACCTCAATTCACTTCATTTATTTTGCTTCTTCCCCAACATCATGTTTCGTTTGATTGCTTAAAGCAATAAAATTAGAATAGATATCATACAATTTTTTATCTTAAATCAGCATCCATGGAAGCAGCTTTATACTCTTCATGATTCATTTCCTATGCCTCTTTGGTTTTTGGCCCAATTTTGATAGCCACAGGGTTTTGCGTGGTGCAAAAATTTGCTGCCAGGTTGCACCATATAATTTCTCTGGGGTGCTGATTTACTGGATGAGTTGAATCATTTAGTGTCTTTGTGAAGTATGCTAAAATTAGATATCCTTGCTACATAGGATTATGGTGCCGTTGTTTGGGAGATGTCAATGTTGAGGAAATTCTTGGACAAACTGACAATTTAAGAAAGACTTGATTGAGTGATTGGAGCTCACAGTGCTGCAAAAACTATGGTGTGAAATCCCCATATGAGAAATTAACATTAGTATGTTTATCTGCACTTATTTGTCTCAATAGAAAAGACAGTTTTCTTGTTTTACAAAAATAAAGATAGTTCCCTCGTATCCTCCCTCTACATTGTCATTGCATATGACTTTGCTGTATGGATATTGTATCTCTCACTACTTTCTAGCAGTGTGTCAATCATAAGGGCCAGGAACTGATGAGGCTGATTTGGAAACTAAATTTCTCAAATAATTTTTCCAAGATAACATCTGTCTGCTGTGCGGAGAAGACCGCATCCAAAAAATATCATCGTTGTTTTTAATTTTATATTTTCCTCAAATTTGCATAGAATGCNCTAAATTTCTCAAATAATTTTTCCAAGATAACATCTGTCTGCTGTGCGGAGAAGACCTCATCCAAAAAATATCATCGTTGTTTTTAATTTAATATTTTCCTCAAATTTGCATAGAATGTCGATATGAACCATTATTTGGAAATCTACCTAAATTTTAGTGTTATGTTCCGATTAAATATGGCTTTGATGTTTTCTCTTTGTCCAGCCAATCTTCCAAAGGTATCCACGGCCTGAGAAGGAGTGCCAGTCTTTTTCGTTAATATACAAGGACAGGTCACTAGATTTGGTAAGAATTTCATATGTTTTGATAATCCCCTTGCCTTAATCGTCTTGTTTAAATATTGTTGAATTTATAGGCCTGGCCCCTGATACTGAGAATAGTTTCCAGATTGTGTTTTCTCGTGTTCTTTGAAATCTGATGACATTATTTTTGTTTTGTTCCAGATCTGTAAAGATAAAGATGAAGCTGAGGTATGGATTAGTGGTCTGAAGGCATTAATTTCACGTGACGATCAAAGAAAATGGAGAACAGAATCAAGGAGTGACGGTATTTCATCTGAAGCCAATAGTCCCAGAACATACACGCGAAGAAGCTCTCCATTAAATTCTCCATTTGGTAGTGGTGATAGCTTGCAGAAGGTATTGTTTTCTACTTTGCGAGCACACTTGCATACAGATATATTCCTCCTTGACAAAGATTTATGTGAAATTGCATAAATTCTTTCCTTAAATTGTCAAATAAGATCTCATATTATTTGATTTAGGATGGTGGTGATCAGCTTCGCCTTAATAGTCCATATGAAAGCCCCCCTAAAAATGGTTTGGACAAGGCATTTTCAGATGTAGTATTGTATGCTGTGCCACCAAAGGGTTTCTTCCCATCAGATTCTGCTAGTGGTTCTGTCCATTCCTTGTCATCGGGAGGCTCAGATGTCATACATTCTCAGATGAAGGCAATGGGAATGGATGCTTTTAGAGTAAGCCTCTCAAGTGCTGTTAGCTCATCAAGTCAAGGTTCTGGTCATGATGATGGTGATGCCTTGGGGGATGTTTTTATTTGGGGAGATGGCACTGGGGATGGTGTTCTGGGCGGTGGAGCTCATAAAGTTGGGAGTTGTTTTGGTGTTGGAATGGATTCTTTATTGCCCAAAGCTGTAGAATCTGTGGTCGTACTTGATGTTCAAAATATAGCTTGTGGTGGACGGCACGCTGCCTTGGTGACCAAGCAAGGAGAGATTTTCTCCTGGGGTGAGGAATCGGGGGGCAGGCTTGGGCATGGTGTAGATTCTGATGTTTTATGTCCGAAACTTATAGATGCCCTCAGCAATACAAACATTGAGCTTGTTNTATAGCTTGTGGTGGACGGCACGCTGCCTTGGTGACCAAGCAAGGAGAGATTTTCTCTTGGGGTGAGGAATCGGGGGGCAGGCTTGGGCATGGCGTAGATTCTGATGTTTTATGTCCGAAACTTATAGATGCCCTCAGCAATACAAACATTGAGCTTGTAGCATGTGGTGAATACCATACTTGTGCTGTAACCCTCTCTGGTGATCTGTACACATGGGGTGATGGCCATTTTGGTCTTCTTGGGCATGGCAATGAAGTGAGTCATTGGGTTCCGAAGAGAGTAAATGGGCCATTGGAAGGTATACATGTTTCATCTATCTCCTGTGGGCCCTGGCATACGGCTGTAGTCACCTCTGCCGGGCAACTCTTTACTTTTGGTGATGGAACATTTGGTGTTCTGGGTCATGGAGATCGGAGAAGTGTTGCAAAACCTAGGGAAGTAGAGTCCCTTAAGGGGCTCCGCACTGTACGAGCAGCTTGTGGTGTTTGGCACACAGCTGCAGTTGTAGAAGTCATGGTTGGTAATTCAAGTTCCAGTAATTGTTCATCAGGAAAATTGTTTACATGGGGAGATGGGGATAAAGGTCGACTTGGACATGGTAACAAGGAAACAAAACTTGTGCCTACCTGTGTTGCCGCTCTTGTTGAACCTAACTTTTGCCAGGTTGCCTGTGGACATAGCTTGACAGTTGCACTTACAACCTCAGGGCAAGTCTTCACAATGGGCAGTCCTGTTTATGGGCAGTTGGGCAATCCACAAGTTGATGGGAAGCTCCCCTCTCGTGTTGAAGGAAAGCTTTCAAAGAGTTTTGTGGAAGAGATAGCTTGTGGTGCCTATCATGTTGCAGTTTTAACTTCGAGAACTGAAGTTTACACGTGGGGCAAGGGAGCAAATGGTCGATTGGGTCATGGAGATACAGAGGACAGAAATTCTCCAACTTTAGTAGAAGCTTTAAAGGACAAACAAGTAAAAAGTATTGCTTGTGGTACTAGTTTTACTGCTGTTATCTGCCTTCATAAGTGGGTTTCAGGAATTGATCAGTCCATGTGCTCTGGCTGCCGTCTGCCATTTAATTTTAAAAGAAAACGGCATAATTGTTATAACTGTGGGCTTGTATTTTGCCACTCATGCAGCAGCAAGAAGTCCCTGAGGGCTTCTATGGCACCGAATCCCAATAAAACTTATCGCGTGTGTGATAATTGTTTTGGGAAACTAAAGAAAGCTATTGAAACTGACACTTCATCTCAGTCTGTTGTGGGTAGGAGAGGAAGTATGAATCAGGGCTTGAATGAGCTAATTGACAAAGACGATAAGTTGGATTCCAGATCTCATCCTCATCTTGGAAGATTTTCCTCAATGGAATCCTTGAAACAAGCGGATAGCCGTTCTTCCAAGAGAAATAAGAAGTTAGAATTCAATAGTAGCCGTGTATCACCCATTCCAAATGGAAGTTCCCAGTGGGGAGCTCTTAACATCTCTAAATCTTTTAATCCAGTATTTGGATCATCCAAAAAATTTTTCTCAGCTTCTGTTCCTGGGTCAAGAATTGTTTCTCGAGCAACATCACCAATTTCAAGACGGCCCAGCCCACCTCGTTCTACTACACCAACTCCAACTCTGGGTGGACTCACCTCACCAAAATTTGTAGTGGATGATGCTAAAAGGACAACTGATAGCCATAGCCAGGAAGTTATTAAATTAAGAGCACAGGTATATAATCCTGTCCTGCTTGTTGTCATCTACTTGTTTAATTTTCTCCTGCAAATTTGTTTCTTCTTGTTTCTTATGTTAGTTTACTGAAAGTGGGAATGGGGAAGTACTAATAAGTGGCCAAGGTGAAGAAGTATTGTTCCTAATGATTAAGAGTTGCAAGAATTTGTCACAAAGACCTCCTCTTTTGTATCCATCTTTATCTTCTATAATTAAAAATGTCTTCCCTTGGAGCAAATGACACAAAATGTAGAAATGAGAGCTTGATTACAATTTTCAATACTATAAGATGCAATACCATATTCTGTGGGATTATTAGGCTTCATCAATCTACGTGATGTAATTGGTTAGTAGACATAAAGTCTCCTTGCTGTGTGAAAGATTAAAATTTTGTTTCGAAATGATCAAAACAGCCGAAATGTTTCTGTTTCCTAGGAGACCAAAACGAATTAGTGATGTAATTGAAATTCTAATACTTTGAGGTGTTTTGTAATGTTTCGATGCATTTACACAATTTTTTCAGAATATTTCAAGTTGTTTTAAGTGCTTTGATATATTTTGACCAATGTTTTGGAAAAATAATCCGGATTTTTTTTATTCGTTTCCATTCTATTTTTGAAACAGGTCGAAACGTTTTAGTGATTGAAAGTATCGAAACGAAATTTTGATCCTTGCATGCTGTAATTTAAGAAATCTTTGAAATTGTGTCTGGCTACATGTTTGTTAGTTATATCTGACCTTTTTTACATCAGGTGGAAAATCTTACTCGTAAAGCCCAACTTCAGGAGTTAGAGCTGGAAAGAACTACTAAACAACTAAAGGATGCGATAGCAATTGCAGNCGAAATTTTGATCCTTGCATGCTGTAATTTAAGAAATCTTTGAAATTGTGTCTGGCTGCATGTTTGTTAGTTATATCTGACCTTTTTTACATCAGGTGGAAAATCTGACTCGTAAAGCCCAACTTCAGGAGTTAGAGCTGGAAAGAACTACTAAACAACTAAAGGATGCGATAGCAATTGCACGGGAAGAGACTGCAAAATGCAAAGCAGCGAAAGAAGTGATCAAGTCACTTACTGCNAAACAACTAAAGGATGCGATAGCAATTGCACGGGAAGAGACTGCAAAATGCAAAGCAGCGAAAGAAGTGATCAAGTCACTTACTGCCCAAGTAAGAAAATGTCTATAATATGGTTTTAAACCTTGTATGAGATGACTTGATAAGTTATGGGGTTGTCTGCATGTTATGTGGAATAATTTTAGTCCGGTGTTTCCTAAACAGCATCACATATCAGCCTAATCTGTTTTTCATGTCATTTGAGAAGAGTCCATTTCATTAACAAGTGGGATCTTTTTAAAACACTGAAAGATGAATCTTCTTCATTTTTAATTGTCATTTCATATGTTGATATTGCTTATTCTCAATAATAAATTTGTGCCTCAAATGCTAGGAAACAGGAAGTGAAATCAATGGGAGGTTCAAATGAACATTTATTTAATTAAATGTTTTACTTCAGTATTTATACTTGGCTTCTCAATTTTGAAATTATAACTAAACAGTGAACTACTATTTGGTTGCTTCCTTAAAAGATTGCTTATGATCAATTCAAGGAAGAAAAATTTCCCATCATATGATTTAATTGAGATAGTAAAAGTGATATTAGGGTTAGAGGGAAAGAGAGAAGAAAGAGAGTCAGACAAAGGAGAGTAATCAGTTGTGGAGGCAGTGTTTTTCCACACTCTNGTGATATTAGGGTTAGAGGGAAAGAGAGAAGAAAGAGAGTCAGACAAAGGAGAGTAATCAGTTGTGGAGGCAGTGTTTTTCCACACTCTTATTTATAATAAACTGACATTATGAGCAATTACATTATTTTTCTACACTACTAATAATCTAAAATAAGAATTCTAACACTCTCTTTCAAGTTTTAACATACATCTCAAAGATGCCCCAGCTTGGAACAAAGATTACTAAAGATAAATTGAGCCAATGGTTTGGTTAGGATGTCACTAGTTGATCACTAGATTTGATGTATAGTGTGACAGTCTCCTTTCACATACAGTATGAGTCATGACCCGATATTTAGCCTCTACACACGAACGTGCTACNTTTGATGTATAGTGTGACAGTCTCCTTTCACATACAGTATGAGTCATGACCCGATATTTAGCCTCTACACACGAACGTGCTACTGCGTTTTGTTTCTTACTCCGCCACATCACAAGGTTGCTACCAATAAATATAGAGTTAGAGTAACCCGAAATAGATCGCCTATCAACACGAATACCTACCTAGTTAGCATCAGAAAAGTCAATAATAGTCATGGATGTTGAAGGACGATATAATAATCCTTAACCTGGTGCTCGTTTTAGATACTAAAGAATACGACATATAGCCTCCCAATGAAGTTCACGAGTAACATGTAGGAGCTAACTAACCACACCAACAACATAGGTAGTGTCAGGATGTATAACTGTAAGATAGATTAATTTACTAACTAACCTTCGATCAAGGATCAAAATATCATTTCGGTGTATTGCTTCAGTCACCTAGGAAATGGAAACGTTTCGACGTGTTTCGGAAGCGTTTTGACCCGTTTCTGAAATATAATGAAAAAAATAAAAATTTAAGAATTATTTTTCTAAAATATTGATGAAAATATATCAAAATATCTTAAAATACCTTAAAACATTCTAAAACAATTGTGCAAATGCATTGAAATATTATAATACATTTAAAAATATTATAGAATACCTCGAAATATTATAATTTCGATTCCATCACTGTTTCGTTTCGACCTCCTGGGAAACGGAAATGTTTCGGACGTTTTGACCGTTTCGAAACGATATTTTGATCCTTGCTTTCGATAGTGCTCTACTTCATCAAAAATTTCACCACTCTCTGAATCTATTCAGACAATCTAATACATACTCCCGTTGACACAAATTGATACCTTCTTTTGACCGAGCAACCTATCCCAAGAAAATACTAAAGAAGTCCTAGGTGTTTGACATGAAATTGTTTCCTCAAATGAATCTTGAAATGAGCAATACAAGTTGAGTCATTCCCACTAACGGTAGTATCATTAACATATACAATAAGAATAATAATACATGTGGAAGAATGATGAATAAATATTGAATACTCTAAGTTGGAGTGCTGAAAACTTAGAGCTTACAGAGGCCATCAAAATTAAAGATGGGGAGGCAGAGACCTATATCTCTGAAATCGAGGTATCCTAAATTGGCTTATTTCTTATAAGATCAAAGCTCATTACTCAGTTTAGATCCTGTTTGTTGAGGGTGCTGGGAGGAGTTAAATGGTTACAAACCTAACCTTGGGCATTATCTAAATTCTGTACAAAGTGACTGCCCTCAGATTTAAATCCACTCGACTATGTGGTTATTCACCTGAGCGTTATACTGCTATACTAGGCCTTGACTTGTTAATTCTTAGAAGGAATTTATAATCTATGATCTGATGTGCTGTAGTCATGGACTCTCTATAACATTCTCCCTTCCTCCCTTTGCACACTGTTTATCTTATTTTATTTTTACTTTTTACCTGCAGACTATAGGTCAAGCATACGAAGATATGCAGACACAGAATCAACATCTTTTGCAGCAGGTGGCCGAGAGGGACGATTACAATATCAAGGTCTGTGTTTCATGATTCTCCTTTGTTCAACATCTCTGGTTATTCACTTACAATCTGCTGTTATTCTAATTTAGTTGATCCAGTAGGATGCTTGGGCTGGTATTCCCCCTCCCCATTTGAGAGGGTTGGTGGGTTCCTGATTATTTTTCGGGTTTTTGTACTGCAGCTGGTTTCTGAGAGTGTGAAAACAAAGCATGCACAAAGCATCTTACTTTCTGAGAAGCAGTCATTAGCAAAACAACTGCAGCAGGTTAACACATCACTGGATTCTTCGAAAGGGAGGATTGCTCACAGTGAAGACCAGGTAAGGTTTCTTTTTACTTCATAAAATTGCTACTGATTACTCCTTTTCCAACCAAGATTAGACCTTGCAGATGAAAGTGTACATTACAGAAGCTTTGAAATGTACACAAGAAGATAGACACCTGGCGGTGAACCTGGAAACAGCAAAGTGGGAATTGGCAGATTCTGAGAAGGAATTGAAGTGGCTGAAATCTGCTGTTGCTGCTTCTGAGAAGGACTATGAGCAGATTGAAAGAAAGAAAGCCGAAATTCAAATGGAACTGGATGGTGAAAGGTGCTTTTCTTATCAATTTACTTCTTCCTCGCGTGTTCATGTTCAACAGGTTGATCTAGAGATTATCTCATAATTACTAATAATTCAACCTCCTGGAGGAATAAAGAAGTTAGATATACATGATGAATATATTTTCACTATGGCAAAAGGATAAATGCAAAGACCAAACATGGCATGGGAGTCGGAGATTCTCTTATGATGCATTATTATCTACTCTAAAAGCTTAAGTTGTTAGGGAGGGCGTAACTTTTAGTAATTATATTTCAATGCACCCACTCACGTGCTGGCTAGATTTTGGCTTAGGAATCTTTTAATTGTCAAGGTGGCGGTGAGATTTGAACACATGACCGTCCTGCTCTGATATCCTATTAAACCACCATGACACCATCTACTCTAAAAACTTAAAATGCTAGAGGGTGTAACTTTAGTATTTATCTTTCAACACATTAGTGGCTATTTAACACATCTATACATTAGTGAGTAGTACTTGAAAGCAGACTTGTAACTAAGGGATTCTGGTAAAACCAGAACTGAGAAGAAGAAGCTTGATGAAGAGCTCATGGAACTGAATAGAAAGATTGCTGAGATGAGTTCTGAAAATGGGGAGGCTGCAATACAGAAGCTTCAGGATGAGATCAAAGAGTGCAAGGCTATTCTCAAGTGTGGGGTGTGTTTTGATCGGCCAAAGGAGGTTAGTATTTATTCCAGGTTACACCTGTATTCTGGTTATGCCCTCTAGATACACATATGCTCTCTCCAGGCTTTTTTTTTTGTTCTTTATTGAAATTCTTGCTTTTTCAGTTGAATTGATGGCCTTTTGTAGCAAATCAAATCAAATCAAATTGTCATCTTACAGTGCTCAAGAGAAGGCCAAAATCAAACTTTTGGAAAACACCATTTTCTTGTTTTCAAAATCTGGCCTTGTTTTCAAAACAATTTAGCTGGAAAAAAAAAAAACAAAAACAAAGCAGTTACCAAATGCACCCTTAATCTGCTGATTCAATTTTTTTTGGAGGAAATTGGCAGCATCATGTGAAATTTGAGTCTCAGCGCACAATTGATAGTGTCTCCATGTTCTAATGACAAAGGGGTTTTTTGCATTATCTTTGGCAGGTTGTAATTGTTAAGTGCTATCATCTATTTTGCAATCCATGCATCCAAAGAAACCTAGAGATTCGCCATCGCAAGTGCCCTGGTTGTGGGATTGCATTCGGGCAAAGTGATGTTCGGTTTGTAAAGATCTAAATGCTGCCATTATATGGCTTTGGTTGCAGATGTATCTTAATATAACAGTAGCATTCCTCGATGTCTTGAGGGGATCATATTTGGTCCCTGCGTAGTAGCAAACAAGGTGGCTTTCCTTCTTTTTCCACCTCCCATGTTTATTTACCCGTGATTTAATGTTTCTTCAGTTTTGTGTAGTTTTGACAAGTTTGTAAAGGAAGATTCTGGTTATAAGACCAACTCAAATATATTTAGGAACATGGGATTGTACAAGAGGTTTCTTGTTGTTCTGTTTTTATTTTTATTTTTTATTTTTTTGATACTAAAAAAAGGATCTCTCGGAATCAGACCTGGGCTAGCGGCCGACCACCGAGCCTTAATGGGGACTCCAGTACTCGAATTTCCAACCTCTGGGTGAGGAGTAAGGCTGGTATTACTACTAGATCATCCTAATCAGTGGTTTATTTATTTATTTATTCATATGTAGTTTAGGATATAAGTTGATAAAATTTAAATTTTTAGAGTTCACTATTTATGTTTTTTTTAGTAGTTTTGAGTTGTTTTTGATATATGTTTCTCAATTTAAATTTTCATTATTTTTGTAGTTCATTGTTTGTAAAAATTTTGGACAATGAACTAAGAGTTTTATTCTATTAAAATTCATTGTTTGTAAAAATTTTGTGATCTAATAGTTTCATTATATTAAAGTTAAATGTTTATGTTTTGTTTCAAAATTTGAGTTCACTAGTTTTTCATTGTTTGGGTGGTGGGTGGTGGTGGTGGTGGACAACAATGATGGTGTTGGTGGGCGGCTGTAGCGGGGTGTGGCGAATGGTTGTGGTGGGATGATGATGGTAGTAGTAATAAATATAAGAATGAGATGATGACAAAGGTTTTTAAACAACCTCTTTTATTAACGGTATTTTTGTTAAGCGTTTTTATAGATTTTAGATCTTAAAAATGTTCAAGTTAAACCTAAAGTCTAAAAAGTCTTCAACTGTAGACCTGTGGTATGTTTTCCCTGTATATTATTTGCAAAATATCAAATAAAATGCATATATATTTGGAGGGAGTCATTATATTTAACTTTTACATAAATTAATATTAATCAAGCACTTTGGAATAATATGAACTTGTTCAAAATAAGAAATTATGGAAAAAAAAATTGCAATTGATTGTTTAAGAAGAAGTGTCAAAATTAGGATAAAGACACGATTGATAAACTAATAGAATTATTGGAACTAGTCATGCAAAATATAATTTGATTATCCAAATAGAGATATGCTAGAACTCAATGATTTTTTATTACAAAAAGACTTATTTGGTATTTTTTTGATTTTTTTTAAAGTTTGCTCTCTTTTTTCAAGTTTAATGCATGCATTGTAAGATAAATATGTACATATATGAGCGTGTTTCTTATATATCCTAATTTATATAGATCATTTTTGAAAAGTATTAGCTAAAATAATTACTTAGACATGTAGAGTCAAAGATTCAAACATCTAATCTTTTCCTACACGTCGTAGTGGTGTGAGTCATGCTTTGAGCTGACCTTTATATTTTTTTTTACAAATTATCGATAAAAATTATTTTTTTTTTGAAAAAATTATTTATTTAAAATACTCTAATTATACACTCTAATATTTTTGTCTCGGTAGGAATTATACAAAGCATACGGAGATCTTTTGACTAAATGTAAACGTAGTAAGAGGATTGAAAATTTTTAGGGGAAAATGGAAGGNAAAATACTCTAATTATACACTCTAATATTTTTGTCTCGGTAGGAATTATACAAAGCATACGGAGATCTTTTGACTAAATGTAAACGTAGTAAGAGGATTGAAATTTTTTAGGGGAAAATGGAAGAAAATTAGAAAATGAACAATTATCGGGGAAACTATGTTCCTTTTTCCATTTTTTATTTTTTGGTGTTCATCTTCCTGTACAATACACTAACCTTCTTGTATTTAATAAAGATTTAGAAAATAGAGAGGGTATTTTTAAAGATATGAAAAATTAAAAGGGGTGTGACTGAAATTTTCGATAGTTTTATTATGCTCCAGCAGGCTCCATCTTCTTTATGTATTACAGTCTCAGTAGTATAATTGCCAATGGGACCATGACACTGACTCAAGCAAAATCTATATCATCGTCGTTGTCACCACGATTACTATTCCACAATTCATAATAAATATTACACTATTATGACCACAATTACTCATTTGTCCAAGTCATACGTTTGGACTTTGAGTCCCAGAATTTAATAAGTTCGAAAAATGGTAAGCCTTTGTCAATTACATCCGTGATATGTGATACCTTATTGTGTATTGATGACAATTTAGAGTATTGAACTTCAAGGTGTAACAAAAGTGGCAAAAAGAAAAAACTGTAAGTCCAAACGTTTTGAATTTGAATTTTAGTAATTCATTAAAGTCAGATTATGATAAATTTATTCTATAAATATCCTAACTCCGGCGTGGATGGTCTGTCTTTGACCAAATAAAAGAAGAGATTAATCGAGGTGAACATAAACTAGCCAAGACACTCCTGACTATTGAAAAAAATTAAAATTAAAATATATTATATTGTGTACAATCTTTTGATTAGTGGTCTTAGTTAATGGAGGGCATTTTCAAAATTTAAGTGGCTTAGAATATTCATCATGTTGGAGTTTAAGGAACGGGGGCTTGGAGTGGGTTACAACATTCCTTGACAGAATCAAATAGGTTTTGCTTCTGAGCCACATGAACTCCATTTGTGAAAGCTACTGTTGAAAAGAGACAACTACATTAACCCATTTAAGACATAAAATTGAACCATTTTAGGTTATTAATTAAACCACATTTTAGTCGACTCGATGTCACTACAATAACTTTTTTATATACAAGGATAATATTGTGTATATCTAACTATTTCCGGGCCTTGCAATGGCCGATCATCGTGCACGAGACCATCTGTTTTTTGATTGGTGTTGATAATGTTTATTTCATTCTTCTCGTTCAGATGAGAATTCAAATTTGGATTATTTATTTGGGCGAATTACATTTTGTATATGTTCTCAAAGATTAAATTTTTATATTGTACTCTTAATGTATCAAAAATGTTACAATGTGACACTTTTGTTAGCTTTCCGTAACAAATTTAAAATTTAAAATTTTTCAAATTGTGAAGTGCAAAAAACCCTATTTGTTTCTCCTCATTCTGTCACGGAAAATACTGCGTAACTCAAATTTGCATCTCAAATAAAGAGGATCATTAAACGAGTGGGTCCCATCAACTTTTTTAAATGGGACCACTGATCTAATGGTTACCCTTCATTTAAAATGCTAATTTGAATTGTAGATTTGAGTTACATAATATTGCTCTCCTACCACTTGGATATAACAACGTTCTTTGAAGACGTTTATTTTCAACATTCTCGATGCATTAAATTCTCAACAACCACATAGAATCTGCCTTAATGTGTAAAAATTGTTAAGAATCAATTGAAAATCAGGCTATTGTATAGAATTAAACAAAAGATTAATAGTAATTTTGGTCATTAAAATATGTCTGTTTTATCAGTTTAGTTCTCATTGTATTAATTTTGTCAATTTAATCACTAAAATTTTAATTTGTGTCATTTTAATTTTTAATCATATAATTTGATAAGTTTTTTGAGAGAAATGATCATGTGTCATTCTTTCAAATGGTATCATGTGACCAACACGTGATCATTTCATAAAAAACTTAATGATTCGTCTATATAGGGATCATTTAAATAGGAATTGAATATTGTAGAGATCAAATTGATAAAAATAATATTTTAAGAATTAAACTGACAAAATATACATATTTTAAGGGCCAAAAATATTATTAACCCTTAAATAAAATAGAGACATTTTAATGTTAGAGGTGGTTTAATAATTGAGTCTGTCCTTTGATTATTTAGAATTCTTAAGTTCAATCCTTTTCCACATTCATTAAGAGATAACTACCCTTATTCCTTTGGGATAATCTCTAGACCAGTTCAAGTTACGATGGCTAGCCGTTGAACTCGAAGGAATAGTCGACACAAGTCTAAATACCGTGTAACAAAAAAAAAAAAAAATAGATACCTTTTCCGCTTCTTGTTTTCAAGAATCCATTGAGAAGCCTCCCCCCGTACTTAATTTCCCCATTTACATACAAACACATTGAGTTCACTCTAAGCTAAAAGCCATCAATGCAAACCAAACAATATGACACCATTTTCCCTTTACACTTTTTTGCCCATGGGACCTTGCTGTCAACCAAGCCAACATTATTGGAGGCTTAATTAAACAAAGTGGACACACACCTATCTAAAATTCAAGCATTTCTAATCCTGTTTTACCTTTTTTCCTTTGCCTTCTTTTTCTACCTTTCTATATCCATAGGTGCAAACACTTTTCCCATATGAATAAAACTCTGAGACTCACCAAATTTGCTCTTCTGCTGTGCCTCAACATCATCCTCTTCCTCTTCTTGCTCTTCATACTTTGTCAGTGATTCATGATATCCAATTTTTTGGTCGTAAAATTTATGCATGATCAAATAAAGAGATAACCCAAAAATAGTTACTCCGATTAAGTACCAGCTAAATTGAATGTTCACTAATGATTTAGCCCGCTCGAGCGCTTCATGGCTATGGCATCTCACAACTTGGTGACCTTCTTCTATGTTAATAAAGCAACCTTTGGGTATCAGTTCTGAGGTCCAAAGCATGAAGCCCATAGCTATGAGCCAAACACCTTGGAACAAAATACTTAGAGACCTCACAAAGCTAATTAAGAAACTTTTTGGGTAGCCAATACCCATGAGGGAGGTGATGAGAGAGACAAGTATGACAGTTTGAAGAAGCCAGTGGTATTGGCCTTCAATCCCCATGTGATCAGCAGAGTGGAGGTGAAAGAGAAGAAGTTGTTGGCTAAAAGCAATAGCTCCAACCAATTGGGTTAGGCCATATTGGGCTGGGGGCCCAATTCTATCTAGGAGGATAGAAAAAACTGCGTAAACAAAGAAAGTCATTGATATGTTAGAGTGTTCGAAATTGTGGAGATGGTTTGAGGGAATGGTGCCATCGGGGTCAAAGGGTTGGTGACGTTCGGGTCCGATAAAAAGCTCCATGGAAATGGATATGGAGCAACCTCCGATGATGAGGAACAGCTCCAAGTACCTTATTTTGGAAGTTGGAAACCATGGCAAAGATGTGTAGGATTTTGGTTGGAGAGCATGGAGTTTGATGTGGTTAAGGAGGTGCCATAGCCCAATGACAAAGAAACCAAACCCAGGTGCTACATGCCCCACCAAACTGCCCATGTTTTTCTGGTAACCCTTGTGCCCCTTGGTTGTTGTGTCTTTTTTGTGAAGAGAGAGAGAGAGAAAGAGAGAGAGAGAGAGAGAGGTTGTGAGATGAACAAGGATGGAAAGGAATTTTAAGAGGGAGTTGAGGTATGAATATTTGAAGGTCTCTAGAGGCTTCTGTGGGGCTTTAATAGTTTGAACATTTGAAGTGGCTGTGTGGTGGCTTGGGAAATAAGATTAAGAGTTGACCACGGCCCTTATCCAAGAGGTGAGGTGGCAAAATTGTTTTGTAGAATGCAAAGGACCCAAACTAGTGATTGATTTTGATTGAATATCATTAATTTCTTAATTAAGTTCAGGCAAGTCTTAAGTCTTATTGACCACTGATCAAAAGATCATGATCATCTCTATTATTTTTTTTACACAATTTTATTAAATAATAGATCATTTATTGTGTATAAATAAGGGGTTCACATATAAATAATGATTCTCACGTGAATACATAGTGAGTGATTTATCATTAAGTAAAATTGTATAAAAATATAATGAAGAGGAATTCAATCCCAGATCAAACGGTATGGTCTCTTGCGAAGATAGTTATTTTGTTCACATGATATTAAACGGTTAAGTCTACATTGGAATTATATATCTGTCTTAATCTTTCATTCACAGAATTTTTAAATGATCTATAATATAAAACGGGACATACTTCAATAAATTCATTCGACGGTTTCAAATAAATTCATTCAACGGTCATCAACATCTCTCTCAAAATTATTTATATTACATTGTACATTCAGGTAACAGTTACCCCTAATTATATATATATTACTTTTTAGTATTTAAAAAATTGTGACCAAATGTTATAATAGTAAAATATATATATATTTTTTTGATGAAGTTATTTTTATTTAAAAAACCAAACGTTACAAAAGACGAATCATTTACTTCTTTTGATGTGGTATTCTTTTTCTTAATTACGTACACGCACACGTATGGATGTGTGCTTGGTACTAAATATATATTCCACTTGTGCATATACACGCACGTCATTTTCGGTTCGGCATACACTTTTTTGCTCGGCAATGCTTTCCACTGAGTTTTTTAATAGACTTATTTTTCAATCGGGCTTCTATTCAATTTGTTCGACTGAAGCTAAAATCTACTTGGCCAAGCTACACTATTGTTCGATTGAGTCTTTATCTGCTCGGGCATAAAAGAGTCACTTCAACTCAGGACGTACCATCTATCATGTGTCCAAGTCCAATTATCAAATTATGATCAAAAATTCTAAACACCTTCGGACAATTTCTTGTTTACTTTTTTCCGAAAGACTTCATTTTATTATCAAAACAAGGGTTCAATTCTCCTTCTCTACATCTTCGCTCGTTATCAAATTTTGATTTCATTTGGGTTTTGAATTCAACTTTGATTAATGAATTTTTTCTACAGAAACTCGGATCCGAATTTTTTAAATTTACTTTTTTACATCACAAAAATTAAGAAATCATTTTATAATTAGTATTTGTATATTCTCTATCTGAAGGTCAGGCTATAAATGATTTATCCCTTATGAATACTCTGTTCCGGCATAGACGATTTGCTTTTGACTGAAACAGGGAAGAGATTGGTCAAAACTGATGATGGTTGTAAGATTCCCTTGAATTAATTATAGGTTGCATTGAGTTTAAGCTAAGAGTTCAGAAATATTTAACAGGTCGAGTTGAGTGTAGCAACGTTTACCACGAAACTATCAACTTGGGGGATTATAATAGAGCAGTTGTTGTANTTGAGTGTAGCAACGTTTACCACGAAACTATCAACTTGGGGGATTATAATAGAGTAGTTGTTGTATGAAATGTGTCTTTTTTTTTTTTTTTTGGTTGCTCGGAGAAAAAAGAGGTGGGTGTAGAAGAAAACGCATAAAAACCACTCCGATAGGCTTTCACGGGAGAGATCATGAGGGCCTGACCGCGTTCATTACACCTCTCAGGAACAAAATTTAGTTAGGCTAATATAACGGTCAACCAATGTGGACTCCGATACTCGAACCTCTAACTTTAAAGTAAGAAGTTTGATCGATATCCCATTAGACCATCCCACTTAATAGATGACTCATTAACCTAAATAATAAACAAAATGAATTAGTATCAAACAGAAATATTCACAAGTATTCATTTGTTTTTTAAGAATTTGAATCAAGTGGATTTGTAATATTTGGGAGCCTAGGAGTAATGAGTTTGATTAAGAGAGAATTGAGTCATGGTCTTATATTTCTAGTTCACTTATTATACATGTTAACTTGAATACAAATATTTAATACAGAGATCGAGTTTAAACATATCTGACATGAATATTTAGATGAGTTAAATTATACTTGATTTGTTCACCCAAAAAAAATAAAATTGTATTTTACTCCAAAAGTGGTATTTTTACTCAAAAATAGAATATTCATCCAAAAAGTGGTATTTCACACCAAAAATAGAATATTCACAAAAAGGGATATTTTACTCCAAAACATGGTCTTTTAACTCCAAAAGTAGAATATTCACAAAAATAGTATTTTCACCCAAAAAGTGATATTTTCATCTTAAAAAAAAAATTGGTATTTTCACCCCCAAAAAGTGATATTTTCACTTAATAACTGAAATATTCACAAAAAATTGATATTTTCACTCCAAAAATGATATCTATAATAATAAGATAGAATCTAATTTGAATCTTTTTTCACTTCAAAATTTAATTTAATTTAAATTCATTTGGAAAAGCACAAGGACGGCTCAGATTCATTCTAATTTTAACTCAACGGCCTAGACTTTATCTAATTCTTATAATTGGATATAATGACCCACATTTCATCTCACATGAAAAAAAATGGTATTTTCATCCAAAAAAAAAAAATATTTTAATACAAAAAGTGATATTTTTACCAAAAAAAAATGATATTTTCACATAAAAAGTGGTATATTCCTGTAAAAGTGACATTTTACCCAAAAAATTATTATATTCACCCAAAAAAGTATTTTCACCCAAAATGTGTTATTTTAATCAAAAAAATATTAATTTAACCCAAAAACTATAATATTTACCGAAAAAGTGATAATTTCTACCCAAAAGTTATGATTTTCACCAAAAATGGTATTTTCACTCCAAAAATAGAATTTTCAACTAAAAAGTGATTTTTTTCACCTAAACAGTTGTATTTTCACACACAAAAGTTATATTTTCAATCGAAAGGTGAAATATTCTCCTAAAAATGGTATTTTCTGTAAAACCCAAAAAAAAAATTATTATTATTATTATTATTATTAAAAATCCTAATAAAAGGGGTAAAATAATAATTAATTGTTAAATTATGGGTCAAAAACATAAATTTCAAAAAAATAATATATATATATATATATATATAAGTGGAAGACTTTGCCTTCCACTTTTTATTTTCTTCTCCAGCCGGCGAGACAAAGTGAGTGAAAAAAAAAATGAGTTTTTTATTTTTTTTTCTCTTTTCTTCCTTCTCAAATCTACGAAAATTTAACCGTTTAATCGCTTCGGGCCAAGAACAAAAATTGCTTTACTCAGCAAGAGCTACACAACCACACCAAATATCGTATTTTTCTCCGAAAGAATATCAAAGCCGATAATCTAGGCCTAAAACTTAGGAAGTTAAATTTGGGCTTCCTTGGCGTTCTAGTAAGTGGTCTCACGCTACGAGAGGTAGGGTTTCCCCTATTTAGATTTAATTTCAACTTAAAATATGACATATGGAATGAGTAGATTATGAGTGTATATCACATGTTAGGTCTTGACTAGTGGGTCAAATATAGAATTTATAATTAATCTTGTGATTAATAAAATTCTATTGTGATTAACTTGGTATAAGTTAATGTTAGTAGTTTAAAGCATGTTAATTGTATGTTAGCATTACTTTATATTTTAATGGAAGATCAAGTTTAATAAAATTATTAACTTGTTATATGATTGTGAAATAATATATATATGTTAAATGATTATTTAACATATGATTATTTTGGTGGACTTGTGCTTATGTTAAACATGTTATCATGTTGCAAGTCATAGCATGCTAGTTGTGTAAATTGATGTGCTCTTTAGGTGTTTGATTAAATGCCTAGGTGAATACAAGTATGTTAGTTGAGTTGATTATCTTACATAACATGCTTGAGATCGTGTTAAAATGTCATTACATTGTATTTCATTATGCATGGGTTGCACTACATTCATGGGCATTGACATGGGTGAGAGTGTATGCATGGTATGAAATCAATCACCACGTAGGTGGTTGAACATGGACTTGGAAAACTCGCACCAAGGTTCGGTTGAGTCGCACTGGAAATTAAATGGATAAATGTGTTGGGGACAGCAAGAAGGGCTAGATTCTCCCTCAGGTGCAAGACCCGCTTACTTGGTTTATACACTTTCCGGCGGTGAAATTCCAAAAAAGTGTAACGGCGGAAACGGAGCCGCAGGTGGGATGTCCTGAAGATCCGTTGATGGTTGGTGTCCCATTGGTGTAATACCATAAATCATCTCCCCACAAAGACCAAAAAAATGAATTAATTAGTCATTGAGTGTACATAACACCAATGATAGGGGCTTAAAATGCTCGGATACATACGCATGACATTGTATGTGTTATGGGAGCTCAGGATGGGGCTCAGGGTTGGTATTGCTTGCGTGAGTCTCATCTCATGGCATGACATGATTTATAACATTCAATCATAATAGACATATTTGAATGAATGTATCAAATGATTGTTGCATGTGATATTCCATATGCATTTAGGTTGAGAGGTATTCTCTATAGGAGTTACCCTATTGAGCGTTGACTCACTCTTTATGGGAACATTTTTCAGGTATCGCACAGGCCTCCACTGAAGGCGAGGTCATGGGCCCGCTTTGACGACAGAGCCGGTCTGTGGCTTTTATTTTGACATTGTAGTCCCTTGTTTATACTTACTTTTGGCCTTGTATAATTTTTGTAACAAACATTGTTTATATTTACAAAGGCATGTATATGGGACTCTTTTGGGACATTTATTCTTTTACGAATAAATGTATGTACTGATAATGATTATGGTAGTATTCGAGACTATACAATTGTGAATGGATAGATAGACCCGGTGGGGTCAGTGTTGTACAGGTTGCGTTTTGAGTAGAGCTCCTCGTACAAAGGAGACTCTGCCCAAATTTTGTTAAATTATGGATCCCGAGAAATGGGGCATAACGGTGTGGTATCAAATTACACGATATCCACCAGTATTATACGGGTCGATGGATAATCAATCGGATAATTACAGACACCCGGATTATGGGGTGTCACATTTTCACTCCAAAAAAAAAATTGTATTTTTACCAAAAAGTGATATTTTTATACAAGAAGGGGTATTGTCACCAAAAAACTGATATTTTTCACTCAAAAAAAAGGAATATCCACCAAAAAAATGATATTTTCCTTCAAAAAGTGGAATATTTACCCAAAATGTAGTGTTTTCACCCTAAAAGTGGAATATTCACCAAAAGTGGAATTTTCACTCTAAAAGCGGTATTTGCACTCCAAAAGTGGTATTTTCACCTAAAAAGTAGAATATTCACTCAAAAAAATGAAATATTAACTCTAAAAGTAGAATATTCACCTAAAAAAGTGGGTATTTTCACCCCAAAAAATGATATTTTCACTCAAAGTGGAATATCAACCAAAAAATTATGTTTTTGCTCAAAAAGTGGTATATTCACCTAAAAATGTGGTATTTTCACTCCAAAAGTGGAATATTCACTCAAAAGTAAAATATCCACTAAAAAAATGAAATATTAACTCTAAAAGTAGATGTATTAGGGTTTTATTTGAACTCAACTTATGATAAAATATGAAAGGTAGGCTGGCTATCTCTAATAATCAGATGTGGTGTGTATAGATGATAAAGAAGTTGCCTAAATTAGAGGTGAAAATTATAAACATGGCTTAAATAATAGACAAATAGGAAAGGGAACCTAGCATGAATTAAGGAAAGTTTGGCTAGAAAATAGGTGTGTTGACATGTGCGGCCAGTGGCAGAAACTCTTGTAGAGAGGGCGCCACAAGACTATAAATATCGGGTAATGCTTAAGTCCAATGCACCCTCTCTCTATTCCTTGCAATTGATTTGCTTACTCTCGAAATTTTTATTGACTTAAGTATCAGAGTGTCCCGTCTCTCTGATTGTGTGTTCGTTTTGCAGGAAAGAGGAGTTTGCATGGTTTGTTTCTCACAAAAGCCTACTAGATTCAATACCATCGTTACTGAAAAAAAGTACGAAAATTTTTACCCTGTACAGTTGTTGTCTTAAGCTTTAGCTAAACTCCTTTTTTCAATTCAATTCAATTGTTCTGAAGACCATGCATTAAGACGTTTTTTCCTCTTTAGCCGAATTAACTGCCTCACTTCTCAGAAACACTAAAATGGATGGATGCTCTATTTGGTACACAGTAATACCTTCAAACAGCAAACAGAAATGGAATGAACATAGAAATGAAATAAATTTAGAAAATGAATAAAATATGTATTATCATTTCAATGTTTGACAATTAATTGGGATTAAGTCTTAGAATAGCTCGCACATTCCATTCCAAGGTTTAAATAAAATAATTTCTAATAGAATGGAATAAAATTTAACCAAAATATTTTTTTTTATTGTAGAATTTCTAACTAGTAAACATATTCTATTACAATGAGTATTTCTGTTAATTTTAAAATTTGACAAATCAGATTAAATATGCGATAAGTAAATAAAGTAACAAAAAATCACATAATAAAAAAATTCGCTGAAAGAATAGTAAAAATAAAAATAGACAACAAATTAAAAAAGTAGAAATGCAACGTGTTTGTCAAAGTCGTATATTTATTCATGTATATTGTTCCATAGACCAAAGAAAGATGTACAAATCATGCCACTTGGAGAGGCCTTCTACTAGAGCATCTCTCATCCATGGATATCGGCAACTCTCTACTACTTCAGGTATAGTTAGCCATTTTCTTCTTTGGGTGTTCTGTTCTGGGCATGATTCAAGCTCTTCATTGACAAGCAAAGCAAACATTGCAGCTCTACATTAACCTTCCGGACAAAACTCATCTTGATGGGTTTTGTTCTTGAAGTGGTAGTACCCAAGAAATCCCTGAAAACGTATATAACCACAGTAAATTTATAACAGTTTTAATGTATCATTTTCAGAGGCAGATGGAAAGGGTTTGGAATTGCAGCATTCAGCGGTTGGAAACATAATGATAACATGATAACACGTGAAGCAGATACTACAAGAAAACAGAGAACGCAAAATGAATTAATAAAAACCGAGCACAAAGGATGCAGGTCCTGAAGCATAGGAGTGGTTTGCATGGTACTTGTGTTTGCAACAAGAGACTATTTCCCTTACCTCTTCACCAACAGTGAGACAGTTGCTTAACTGACAACCAAGCTTGCAGTCTTGCTTGGACTCACAGTAACTCTATTTTAAGGGTGGGTGACCCTACTTAATTTAGTGGCCGTGATTGCATAAGAATGGCCCCATAGCATAAGAACTGAAAAAATATACGACACTTTAATTTGACTATGCCAGCAGGATTATTAGTAATTGTTGTTGCTTGTTTTAAGAGTGTTCCTATCATGTTTGTAATGCTAACATAGGCCATTAATTTCATTGTTGATTATGGCGTCATCAATCACATTTCATGGACGGAATGACCACTTAGTTCAATGTAGTTGCGTGTTATGGTATTTTCCTTGACGTGATTGATTCAAATTAACTTCCATTCTTTTGCATGGTGGTAATTCAAGTCATTAGAAAAGCTTTCTAATTAGGACATTAGCTAGAGTCCTAGTATTGCTAATATGCGATTATTAGTCTATATACCTGCACTTGCCAAAGATAGGCGCCCAAGAAAAAAGCACAATAGCTACGTAATTATTTATCCCACTTACAAGGATCACACTTCAAAGCAAAAATAGAAAATTTTGTGACAGCATAAGGGGGATTCGACTAACAATTAAAACTCAAGCCACCCAATAATTTGAATTCTATAGGTACTATTCAAAATATCATGCATTCAATCCTATTTTTCTTTTGTCTCATTTCTAAGGGTACTTTTATCATATAGTTGACAGGCATGTTATTCAAAATAGGAAATAGAGAAACAAAATTCTAAAATTGGATTCGAGATTGTTGACTAAACAAAGTGGAGAGTTACCTGAGATTAGTGGCAATGTCAAATCTCGTCTGGTCATCAATCTAGCCCCTTGCATCACAAAGAGATGAGGAAGAAGCATAAAATGGCTAGTGAGGGATGGACCGCCATGCTTCCCGCTGATGAAGGAAAAGTCACAGAGGGGAGTAGAAGAGAGAAGATGAAAGGAGAGAAGAAGGATTGGGGCCAAAGAACTGAAGAACGATGGGCAGTGATGAGAGAGAGAGAGAGGGGAATAGGAACGATCGGGTTTTTGTCAATTTGAATTTAGGCTGATTACCGACTGGTAGGGAATGGGTAATACCATGGTTTATTTGGGAATGGTTAATCCCATGATTTATGGGATTAGTTATTCCTTAGGAATGGGAATGAAATTTTATTCCCCCAAACCAAACAAAGGAATGAATATTACTAAGGAATGACCATTCCATTCCTAAGGTCTAATCTCTAATACCAGCGTAAATGATCATTACAACACATTGTCAATGTTGTTATATTCTAGAGAAGTTATAATTATAAAAGTAAACCATGAATAAGCACATACCTCAAAAGATTCAATCAACTTAAATTTAAACTGTTACCCTCCAAAAAACTGTATACCAACTTCCATCTGAAGAGCCAGATATAAGTCTCTGTTGATTTACCCCCATAGTGTTCTGCTTCTGAAGTCCATATCCTTAAATGGAACATAACCAGCATCCAGCATCTGCAACCACAACTCTTCTAGAACCATGTATATTTTGTCCCACTCCTGATGCAAACTATCTTCTGCTACAAAAACGTGGATTCTGTCCTTAATTTCTATCCAACTTTGACCTGGAACTTTCCTAATGCCTCGGTCTCTCATCAAGCTCCTCAATCTGGCAACATCTTTCCAGTAGCCAGTAGAGGCATATATGTTGCAAAGTAAAACATAAGCAGCAGAATTGAAGGGATCTATCTTCAATATATTCTCTGCAGCCCGTTTCCCAACTTCCAGATTACTATGAGTCCTACAAGCAGCTAGTAAGGTCTTCCACACCACAATATCAGAATCGAAGCCAATTTGATTGATAAAAGCTTCTGCTTCATTTATGCATCCAGCACGAGCAAACAAGTCCACCACACATGAACAGTGCTCTCTTGTAGGTACAATACCATGCTCCACTTCCATCGTATTAAACAACCGCCACCCTTCTTGCACCAATCCAACATGACTGCAAGCAGTTAGAACTCCGACAAATGTTACTTGGTTTGGCTTGATGCCTAACCTTCTCATTTTTCTAAACAGTTTGAGAGCTTCTTCCCCATGTCCAAACTGAGCATAACCCACAATCAAACTACTCCATGAGGCCACATCAGCATTTTCCATACAATTGAAGAGCTTTCGAGCACTTTCAAGAAATCCACACGTTGAGTACATGTCAATCAATCCATTCATGACAGAAGTTTCATGCACAAGACCAATTTTGACGGCACAACAATGAACTTGGTCCCCTGCTTCTGAAGAGGTTATTGCTCCGCAAGCCCCCAATATGTTTGCTAATGTAATATGATCGGGTACAGTTTGAGAGAGAAGCATCATTTTAAATAATGTGAAAACCTCTCTGGCCTGGTTATGTAGCATGCATGTAGTAAGAATAGCATTCCAAGTCACCAAATCTGCATTGCTTCTCATCTCGTTAAATAGTTGAAATGCATCACAAAGATCTGAACACCTGGCGTACATCGAAAGTAAACTGTTGCACACTGCAACATTTAAATCAAAACTCATCTTAATAATGTAGGAGTGTACCTGCTTCCCTTGATATAGAGTTGATGGGCATGTGCATGCACAAAGTAAAGAGCGAACTGTGATATCATCTGGGGTCAGTGACAAATGCCTCCTCATCTGAGAAAAAATTGATATTGCTTCCTTGGCATCACCACCATATGCAAACCCTGAAATAATAGCATTCCAAGACACTAAATCTGGCCTTTTGATCTCAGAGAATACTGTTTTTGCAGAATGGAAGAAACCACATTTAGCATACATATCAGTAAGGGAGCACCCAGAAAAAGCATCTCCCCTCAGCCCGAATTTTATAATCATCCCATGTACCTGCCTCCCATACTCTGGTTGTTGGAGACTGCCGCAAGCACTAAAAGCACTACCAAAGATATATTCATTTGGCTGATAAATGCCATGAGAGAGCATCTCTTTGAAAACACACAAAGCTTCTATTTCATATCCAAGTTGTGAAAACCCGGCAATTATTGAACTCCATGAAATCAAATTCTTTGTCTTACAGTGAGAAAACATGTTAGACGCATCAGTGATTTGACCAAAATTTATGTACATGGCAATCAGAGCATTTTGTGCAATTAATTGGGAACCAGATTCTGATTTAGTGACATGGGCATGCAATTGCTTTCCTAACTCAACATCATTCAAACTTGAGCAAGCTTTTATTATGCTCCCAAAGGTAAACTGATCCGGCATAAGGCCTGACCTAAGCATTTGAAAATACAATCTTACAGCATCGATCCCATGACCATTCTGTGAGTACCCAGCAATCAGTGAAGTCCAAGAAACCACATTTCGCTCAGTCATTTCATCGAAAAGCTTTTGAGCATCCTTTAATGACCCACATTTTCCATACATGTTAAGAATATGATTCTGAAGAATCATGTCTGGCTGACAGTTGGATGTGAGGATATGGTTATAGATTTTCTTGCCATAATCTAGAGACTTCAAAGAAGAGCAGGCAGAAATCAGATGTGCACCAGTACTGGGATTTACATGATGATTTGTTTTCTCTCTTAACAAATCAAATGCCTCAAGAGCTTCTTTGAAAAGGTTTTGCTTGCATAAGGAGCTTATGTAATCATTGCTTGACTGTTGGGTAACGAAGTTAGGTAACACCAGAGATTGAATCCCACAGCTGGAACTAACAACACATGGATGCAGCAATTGACGTTCCAAACTTTTTATCATTGGCAAATGCAAACTACCTTCCAACCATTCAAGCCCAAAATGAACTTTGGTTGTCTAATACTCTTTTTCTTGTAATCCTTGTTCTTGCAGGTGAGGTGAGCATTTCGGCTTGTTCATTTTACAACATTGATACGGGTATTACAGATGTTTTTGCTTCGTTGTGGATGGTCAGTGATGGTGGTAGTTTTCGTTAATGGAGATCTAACTATACTGGATGTCTTTGTGGTGGAGACTGGCGGTGGTTGTGGGGGGTCTTGGTAGGCGATGGTATTTTGTGTTAAGTGTCTGAACTCTGAAGTCGTGAAGAAGACCACACGGAGAGAAAGAGAGGGAGTAAAATGTAAGGGCAAATTTCACTTTTTCCCTCGAAAGATTTCAAATATCTCATTATGTACCCTTACAAAATTAAGTTTTTTATATTATACCTAACATATTAAAAGTGTTGCAACGTAACTTTCTCATAGTTTTTCATCGATTTTTTTGATACCCTGTGACAAAAAATTATAAATGATCCTAAGAGAATGTAGATTGATTTCAATAATTGTATTTTTTTTTATTCATGTTAAAATGTTAGAATTGAGTTTTTTTTTGTAATTTGATTCCAAAAAATTATGTTTTAAACCAATAAAAGTGGTAAACTTGTGTAATATACTTTCTTTGATATCGAAGTCAAAAAATTAAAATAATCCATCTTAATTTTTTACAAAAATATTTTTTGAGAAATTATCAATAAGTCTTGTTTTTTCAGCCAAAAAACTATTAAACCCTATTATATTTACATTAGGACAACTAAACTCTCCTATTAAAAAGTTATTCCGGTGAAGTTCTAAACTTAGTGAATTGTATGTTTTGCTCCAATTTAATCCTTTTCGTCAGAAAAATTGCATTTTAACCTTTTATTTTGGATAACCCATTTTAGTTTAGTTAAAAATCATTTTGTATGAATCTTTAAATACCCAGAATTCTAAGCGTCTGATCTGTCAATAGATTCGATCTTCATCCGAATTCACCCTAAATTTGAACTTAATTAGTTAAATATGAATTTATATTTTTGATCGATGATTCAATTTTGATTCAAAAAAAAAAAACGCTAATTAAATTTGTAGATATAATCGATAAATATTTTTTTTTTCAAACGTAAGACAAATTTAAAAAACTCATACTAAATCGTTCAAACATAAATTAGAAGTCGACATATCTTGCAAATTCCGAACACAAAACAGAAAGAAAAAGGATAAACTGAGGGAAAGGCATACACTTCCTTCACTTGCCACCGGAGGATAACTCAAAGGTATTATTATACACATTTATTATTATAACCTCATAATTAATAAAACCAAGTTATCATTAACATAACAAATATTTTGACGCACTAATTGAAGGTATTTTTATTTATTCAATATTAATACGATAAAATAATTTCCTAATTAAACAATCGATTGAATTAAATAACTACTATATAACAATTTTAGCATGTATTATCAAACACTAAATAAAATTATGTATTATAATAATTCTGTATTTAATCTTGTCTTTTGTCCATCTATATTTTATTAGATTAAATTTCTTTATTCAATCCATTCGTTTCTACTATGACAACTAAACAAAGCCCATAGAGATTAATCTTTTACCTCACAAATCACAACATAGTTACATATTGATGAATTCAAACAAATTACAACAATAATAATAATAAAAAAAAAAGGAGATGAGTATACCACCCGAAAACTTTGAGTTGTCCCTCCGCAAGAAGTTTAATATTTCCTTTTTATGTGACACGATTAGAGCAACTGTAGCCAAACCCTTGTCAAATTCAAGGTAACAACTTCTCTATATTAACCAAATTTATATAGCCAACCGGCAAGCAAGATCTACGAAAGAGGAACATGGTAATTGCTTAAAAAGCTAATAGTCACAAAAGAAATCACATCATATTTCAGAATACAAAGCTGCACAGGATGAAAGGTAGAAGAACCTTGTGCTACTTCCACAAAAGGGAGTGCTCGAAAACTCATGGTGTATAACATTAGAACAAAAACTCATAATTTTTCTTTCCACTTAATACAAAACAGGCAATAATTTACAGAACCCATGAAGCTCATATGGAATCACCTAACAACAGAAGATTCCTGAACTGTAAACACCAGACCGGCTTTAAAAGGCAAAAGGCTATAATAACAACCATTAATGTCCACGCAACAGCTATGCCATTTTATTCTGTAAGAACCTACCGGAAAAGCAGAAATATCTAGCAAACATGTAGAGAATCCCTGCCCCCGCTCATTTGGTTCAAAATACACAAATGTATCAACAACCCCAATATCACCAGCATTATTTCTAGTGTGCATACTGCTAACCTTGGGACACGCTGTCACATACCTNGGTTCAAAATACACAAATGTATCAACAACCCCAATATCACCAGCATTATTTCTAGTGTGCATACTGCTAACCTTGGGACACGCTGTCACATACCTCCACAGCTTTCCATTCAGATCAACCATGTCATCAGTTCCCCAATCTTGATAACCCAACTCTGTTTGCCCTTTATTTTCTCCAGTTGGATGGGGTATCTGAAAAGATGTTTTACAATGAAGGATGCAGTACAACTTGGTTAGCCGTATTGGCTGGTTTGGTGGCACATCTTTCAATTGAAGGCAAAGATTTAGTGACAGATGGAAGCCTTGCAAGACAGATATTCCCTCTACACCTCTGCTGTCTCCATTCGTTGCAAAGAGCTCAGAAGTAATACAAGGCCTGGAAAATTATCAGCTTCAAGCTTTAGAGTGATTCATATGGAAAATCAGAACAACGTTAGTAGTCTCATCACATAATGACAACACTAGTAGGAAGAGCAAAGATTTCAAGGGACAAAGACTAGAGTCACAAGTGGAGGAATTATAAAAAATATCACTGAAATATCAACTGATTCTAAAATNAAGGGACAAAGACTAGAGTCACAAGTGGAGGAATTATAAAAAATATCACTGAAATATCAACTGATTCTAAAATTCATATAACAGATTGTTGAATTCATTGCCTCACCAAGCACCAAGCATATTCAAATGAGTAGGAAAACGTTTTACCAATTAGGCTCCTTTGGATGGATCTTGATTGGGAATGGAATCTCAATCTAAACCCCTAGATTACCCTGTTTGAATAGTTGACAATATGCGAATGAAAACGCATTAGGATTATCATTGGAATCAAATTCCCGATAACCTTGAACCCACTGCCAATGATGGTGATCTAAAAAGCACATACACACTTATAAAGAGACACCAACACTTCCCAAACACATNCACAACAGCTATGCCATTTTATTCTGTAAGAACCAACCGGAAAAGCAGAAATATCTAGCAAACATGTAGAGAATCCCTGCCCCCTATCATTAGGTTCAAAATACACAAATGTATCGACAACCCCAATATCACCAGCATTATTTCTAGTGTGCATACTGCTAACCTTGGGACACGCTGTCACATACCTCCACAGCTTTCCATTCAGATCAACCATGTCATCAGTTCCCCAATCTTGATAACCCAACTCTGTTTGCCCTTTATTTTCTCCAGTTGGATGGGGTATCTGAAAAGATGTTTTACAATGAAGGATGCAGTACAACTTGGTTAGCCGTATTGGCTGGTTTGGTGGCACATCTTTCAATTGAAGGCAAAGATTTAGTGACAGATGGAAGCCTTGCAAGACAGATATTCCCTCTACACCTCTGCTGTCTCCATTCGTTGCAAAGAGCTCAGAAGTAATACAAGGCCTGGAAAATTATCAGCTTCAAGCTTTAGAGTGATTCATATGGAAAATCAGAACAACGTTAGTAGTCTCATCACATAATGACAACACTAGTAGGAAGAGCAAAGATTTCAAGGGACAAAGACTAGAGTCACAAGTGGAGGAATTATAAAAAATATCACTGAAATATCAACTGATTCTAAAATTCATATAACAGATTGTTGAATTCATTGCCTCACCAAGCACCAAGCATATTCAAATGAGTAGGAAAACGTTTTACCAATTAGGCTCCTTTGGATGGATCTTGATTGGGAATGGAATCTCAATCTAAACCCCTAGATTACCCTGTTTGAATAGTTGACAATATGCGAATGAAAACGCATTAGGATTATCATTGGAATCAAATTCCCGATAACCTTGAACCCACTGCCAATGATGGTGATCTAAAAAGCACATACACACTTATAAAGAGACACCAACACTTCCCAAACACATGTCCGATTCTTTGTTATCTGTGTCCACAATTAAAAGATAAAATTTCAATTTTGGACATGTGTTTGACACTTCTTCGGTGACATGTCCAACAAATCTTTAAGTCGTGCCTACTACTAATATATTAACAGGTGTTGAAATGTAATTAATGAAACTTTAAAATTTGGCAGATGACTAGTCTACACTACAAAAAAATATATAATTGTTAAGACCATTCATGTTAAAGTTGTCCTTAAAATTTACTAATGATAGTAGAAGCAACATAAATATTTTGCTAAAAGAAGAGAAATTGAGAAGATGAGAGCAATCACAATAATTATGTACATTTGCCAGAAATTGTCTGCAAAAAAATTGATTATTGACTACCATGATCTGTTGGTCTCAAAATCCACACTAATTAAATAGAAAAAACATCCACTTGTCACAAAGTATTAACTTTCTTATGAATAGCACTAATTATTCCTATATTTGTAATAAATTATATAATCTATCTTTATCGTGTCCTCAACGGTGTCTTACTTTTTTAGACAACAAGTTGTCAGTTGCCCATGTCATGTCTTATCCATGTCCCCTAATCATATCTGTACTTCTTAGATGTTGATCTCATACCAAGAGAATGAAAATTCGTTCATATCCATNCCTCTGCTGTCTCCATTCGTTGCAAAGAGCTCAGAAGTAATACAAGGCCTGGAAAATTATCAGCTTCAAGCTTTAGAGTGATTCATATGGAAAATCAGAACAACGTTAGTAGTCTCATCACATAATGACAACACTAGTAGGAAGAGCAAAGATTTCAAGGGACAAAGACTAGAGTCACAAGTGGAGGAATTATAAAAAATATCACTGAAATATCAACTGATTCTAAAATCCATATAACAGATTGTTGAATTCATTGCCTCACCAAGCACCAAGCATATTCAAATGAGTAGGTAAACGTTTTACCAATTAGGCTCATTTGGATGGATCTTGATTGGGAATGGAATCTCAATCTAAACCCCTAGATTACCTTGTTTGAATAGTTGACAATATGCGAATGAAAACGCATTAGGATTATCATTGGAATCAAAATCCCGATAACCTTGAACCCACTGCCAATGATGTTGATCTAAAAAGCACATACACACTTATAAAGAGACACCAACACTTCCCAAACACATGTCCGATTCTTTGTTATCTGTGTCCACAATTAAAAGATAAAATTTCAATTTTGGACATGTGTTTGACACTTCTTCGGTGACATGTCCAACAAATCTTTAAGTTGTGCCTACTACTAATATATTAACAGGCGTTGAAATGTAATTAATGAAACTTAAAAATTTGGCAGATGACTAGTCTACACTACAAAAAAATATATAATTGTTAAGACCATTCATGTTAAAGTTGTCCTTAAAATTTACTAATGATAGTAGAAGCAACATAAATATTTTGCTAAAAGAAGAGAAATTGAGAAGATGAGAGCAATCACAATAATTATGTACATTTGCCAGAAATTGTCTGCAAAAAAATTGATTATTGACTACCATGATCTGTTGGTCTCAAAATCCACACTAATTAAATAGAAAAAACATCCACTTGTCACAAAGTATTAACTTTCTTATGAATAGCACTAATTATTCCTATATTTGTAATAAATTATATAATCTATCTTTATCGTGTCCTCAACGGCGTCTTACTTTTTTAGACAACAAGTTGTCAGTTGCCCATGTCATGTCTTATCCATGTCCCCTAATCATATCTGTACTTCTTAGATGTTGATCTCATACCAAGAGAATGAAAATTCGTTCATATCCATGAGGTCTTCTGCACCTTTTCGCTACTTCACAAAATCGAGCAGGGGACTATGTCGATGACCTGATTGGNGTGTCTTACTTTTTTAGACAACAAGTTGTCAGTTGCCCATGTCATGTCTTATCCATGTCCCCTAATCGTATCTGTACTTCTTAGATGTTGATCTCATACCAAGAGAATGAAAATTCGTTCATATCCATAAGGTCTTCTACACCTTTTCGCTACTTCACAAAATCGAGCAGGGGACTATGTCGATGACCTGATTGGCAAGATCACTTGTGGATGATGTTGATCATAACATGGTGGTGTATAGAGTTCTTCTTTGGGAGTAAGAGATTGAGCTATTAGGTTTCGTTGAAACCATTTCAGACACATAATGAAGATTGATAATTAGTGGGTGACTAATTTGTGAGTCGTTGCTTAAGTTTTGACAAATTCAATCATCCAATGCAAGTTTATGAGATGGAAACTTTTCCATTCTCGATGGTGCCAGTGTCGTGTCAATGAGAGGAATGGTGAACTGGATTTAGGAAAGCTTTATCGCTCCACTGCTCGATGTGAGAAAATTTATTAGTGCCCACCTGACAAGACCAGCCATATGATACCATATCCTGATCATGCTTTATGTTTAGAGGTTTTAGATGTCTAATTGAGTTAAGAGTGAATATATGCATATGCAGGGCCTTAGTTCTTTTGCCAATAGCCACCATGTAGAATGTAGCCACATAGTAATGAGTGCAAAAGAATCACAACACGAGCTCCTCAACCTCTTTAATTACTTAAAAAGCGAAAAAATTAATAATTCCAGGAGGACCAAAAAAGTGTAGGACTGTGAAACCATACAGGGACAGAACTGTTCAACATACCTTACTCGAAAGAAGTGATTGGGAGTCCGGCAAGAGGTGTGCATCCATTTCATAATGATGTCCAACAGAAGTTGCAAACCATTATTGGTAAAATGAGATTTACTCTCATCGTCGTGTACACTGTTTGCCTCATTTTGCAAGACAACAATCTTTGTCACTGAATAATTACACAACGCAAAAATACCTTTTGCTTCATGAATGCTGTTTGATGTTTGATTTCTGGACTGTGGCCAAAAACAGCTCCTAGGCTTTCCCCAAACCTTGAATAGCAACCATAGTTTTCTGTTGGTATCACAATCTGTACGCCACATTCGCGCAATTAATTCTTGTATTAGCATGGCATGCAAATTACCCTCCGTGTTATCCATACCAGAAATTATAAAATCTTCTAAAGAATGTAGTTTTGGAATTGAAAACGCAAATACAGCACTGAAGGCCAACAATGAACAACTTAGTGCAAGTGCGGAAATGACCAACGAACTTTTTCTATCCATGCCAATGAAAGATGTTGCAATCAAATCAAATTCTCGTGCAAGCCCAACCAGGGAGTTGACTGCACACAAAAATTTTGGGTTCTCAACCACAATCCTTCCCTGTATTTGTTTGCTGTTGCTAATGCTATCGTGACCTGGAACTGTTCTCAACAATTTCAGTATATCCGACACAGTTTCTAAAACCTTTACTCTCTGAGCCAAAAACCATCTTTGAAAACTGAAAGCATGACCTGCAGCAGAGGCTCCAAATGCTTCCTCTACAGAGTGAAGGATTTTACAAGCCCCAACAAGATTTTCAATGAAGTCTGGCGAGTTGATCTTAAAAGCAACGACTTCCCCTGTTTCACTTAGATCATCTCCAAAAGGTCCGGCAGGAAGTTTGTTATTCTCTATCCAATCTAATATATTGGATCCTTGTTTTAAGAAAAGAAACAATTGGACTTTCCTTTCAGAGTAAGCAAATTGAGCCAAGGATTTTAACCAGCCATAACAAGAATCAGATTGAACCATTGTCATTAGTTGCCAAAATATAAAAGCAGCCGTAAACCATGCTCCCTGGCATGCTGCATATTTTCCAGCTTTGTAAGCAGACCAATTATCCTTTCTTGCCAACATCTTCTTTGCCCACTCAATGGAAAGAATCTCTTGCTGAACACTAGAATCAAGATGAGATGTTTGCAAGTTTCTATCAAAATTGTTGTTTTCCTCAATTTCGTTCCACGTCCAATAGCAAACCAGACTTGAATGCAACAGAAGAGAGTAGATTGTGTTCATATAGAAATCAAATAAGCTGCACCGTTGTGCACGTTCAACCAGAAGCTTCACTGCATCAAGTACTTTGTCAGCTTCTTTTAAGTTTTTGAGACGAGTAACCAGAATTTTGGATACATAAATTATAAGCTTTGATGTGATTGACGTGATGTTTTTTCCTCTGAACCCCATTATCTCATGCCTTGATAAATCTGATTTCTCAGCTTCACTAAATCTGTCAAGCATATTCACCAGATTTTTTATAAACGAACAGATTTTTTCCATCACAAGACCACCAAGATTTGGACGTTCTTCAATGAAATGAAAGAGAAGGTTGAGCAAGCTTTTAATCTCTTGATCCATCTCCAAATCAGGCTGATAAAGATCTGCCTCTGGCTTCACCAGCAAGGAGATCTGGTCCATGACAAATGATAAAACTTGGCATGCCAAAGTGTAACCAGTTGCATCTAATGCCATTTCTGTCCTTCCAACAAGCTTTCCAGAAATATTTTTAAGAAAACCAATAGCTAAGAGTCTCTCCGACATGATTGGAGATTGTATTACATTCTGAACAATTGTCAACAGATTGGGTAAAAAATTAAGCATGTCCATGCAAGCAAGGGATGATAGGTTATATAGGAGGATCTGCAAATAAAGATGAAATGATTAGTCCAGTGGTTTAATTATTAGGAATTCAACTACAGGTACCGTAATAACCTTATGCAAAATTTCTAGAGCTTCACATTGCAAGGCTGGTGCGAATTTGGATTCATTTAGCATGCTGACCAATGTTTTGATTGCTTCTGTACTAGCAGGAACTTGACAAACTCCTCCAGCTAAGATATATCGTAGACACCTTAATGATGTAACTTGCAAACGCAAAGATTTCTCTTGATTCAGAAAGGAGAAAAGCAACACCATCTGCATCCAAAAGCCAGAGGGATATATTTATCATACATCAAATAAATAAGCTAAAAGAACCCTTTTTTGGATGAAATCACCATGGTCTGTTAACAACATATCTTAGTACATTGATGTGGTACATCACTGATGCCCCAGCTTTGACTCCCATTTCTTGCATTTATCAAAGTTGTCTTTTTTCACCTAAACTCTACCAGGTATTATGACAGAGATTTAGGAAGGATGAACAAACAAAAAAAGAGGTAGAAATTGGAAAAAGAAGGTTCTGTTGAATCTATTTGTGCACTATTGTAGCTTAAATTTACAAAAATTCTCTGCCATATTAAAGGCTGAATACACAATAAAGACCAACAATCAGGACCATAAACTTGACCATTCAGTACTTGACAAATATTGATTCCGTCACCACCTAATTAGAGTAACATGCTCTGTAATTTATGCAACTGGGGCCATCAATCACTTTGCTATCCAAGAGGAAAAAATGATTGTGCTTTCTTGCATTTTTTCTTTTCATTTTTTTCCCCTTTGGGGCTGCCTGATCAGAGCTTCTAGACTGAAAAACTATGCACGCTAATTAATAACCACAACACACAAAAACAGCCAAATTTTTTTTTTAAAAAAAAGTCCAACAATCAACAGTCAACTTGTCCAAGATACCTATACATGCAGTAATCATAAAACACTTATTCCCTCACCAGCCTAATTAGGGTTTGTAAAGAAATTTTTGTTACCGTGGCCATCAATCACTATATTTTCAAAGCAATATAAGTGGTAGAGCTTGTCCCGCATTGATTTAATAACACCAACCAAGTATATGAGCCTTGTTGGCCTCTCCACCCATTGCCAATTGGTTGAGTTGGATGTTTTAATATGGTATCAGAGTTGAACTTAGGGAGAGTTCTAAGGGAGAGTTCTATTTCAGTTTCGTCAATTTGGTAGTGGTTCCCCTTGTTTGTGCCATAAAGTGCAGCTTGTCATGTCTCCAATTAGGTCTTGGTTCTTCTGTCTACCTTTTTATGTGTGAGTAGGAATCTCATGTGCTCAAAGTATTAGAGCTTATCCAACATCAACGTCGATATAATAGCACTTTCCAAACTAGTATATGATCCTTATGGACCTCTCTTCTCATTCCCCTTTTTGGGTAGCCTGATCAAAGCATCTAGGCTAAAACTTTGCATGTTGAGTAATAACCACAATATACATTGCCAAACACAAAAACGCATTCAAAACCCAAGTAGATGATTGGAATAGCCACCTGGTCAGAAATCAGGAATGCAGATTTGGAAGCAATTTTTGAAAGTGAAATCAGCATCACAACAGAGAAATCCTCTTCCGAAGAATCAAAGACTAGCTTTAGACCCGTCTGTAAAGAAAACAATAATGAGTAATTCACGTACATATGCAAACATGCAAATATGTTTGTATATATGCATAAATATATTCAATGTACCCCTATTTGTTTGTTGCATTTACCTACAGAGCATCCCTATTTCAATAAAGAGTTATGTCCAATGTTACTATGATCATTGGTCGATTTAGACCAACTATTAGACAAGAAACGACTAGAAATTTATGGAGCAGTGCAGTTTGGGGGCCGCTCTCCAAAAGCTTTGAATGGTCAAACAGGAACACTGCAGCCAAAACCTGGTACAGATAGCATATATAATAGTTCCTCCTCATTAACCTTCCGTGGAGCCTTAGATTTCAAAATCATGAATGAGGGTTGGAAAATTAGGAAACCTGGCTTATCTATCAAGGAGTCAAAAAAAAAAAGACTTCAAAGAGAACTCCCCTGAAGAATAATTAGTCCATTCTCTACGGTCCAAAGAAGAAGGATTCAACACAATATTGTCCAGAATACCTAGAAGAGAGGACATCTCAACAAGTTCTCTGTCGTTCAAGTTCCTAAAAAAGTCAAAGTCCCAACAAGTCGGAGAAGAAAATGATGAGACGATCATGCTAGAAATAGATATGCTGGGATATCTATAAAGAAGAGGAAGAGAGAATTTTTATGCAAAGGGTAGAACAATTATTATTTTCATTCCTACACTCATCTCTATTTATATTACTAAGAATATTAGAAAATTACAAGAATGTTGATCATCCTCTATTGCAATAAATTCTAACAATACATATGAAGGACGATGCCCACTTTGTTTCAAAATGGCCATAAATACACTCATTACATGCAAAATAACCATGCATGCTCATTTGTAAAAGACATAAAGGCAGAGGAGATACATAACCTTATAAGTTTTACTTGCAAGCAAAGATGAGCACCCCAGTTTAGAAAAAGCTTGCCCTCCTGCTAACCTTAGAACAGTTGATGTCTCAGACGATGTCACCAAATTAACCAGCATCTCCAAGAGAATATAAGCAAAGTCATCTGACAACTCACAAAAGCATCCCGCGGCAAATAATGAGGCCTTTACCTGTAGAGGTTGAGTAGCAGTTCCACTCAGATGGGTAGTCTATCAGAGCATTACAAAAAGAAAAGCAGAAAATAATAGGTCGGAAGAGTAAAAAACAAAGAAATAAAATATTTAGATATGTTAAAAAGAGTTAAATTTGAAACGGTCATGCTCAGAATCATAACCTAGGGAGTTCCTCAACAGCTAGTAAAGCTGCCATTATTTTTGGATACAAAACAAAAAATAATTGATAAATAAGCATTACATAAGAGGAGGAAAAAATCAGAGAAAGTCTTCCAACCGAAACTCAAACGGATATATATATAGAACACCATGAAAAACATCACACTAGGGGTCAAATGAAGCACTCCACCCTGCCAAAATTTTAGGGGGAAGAAAAAAGAGGAATGTTCTCAAAATCCATGGTAACTGAAGCCCTAAACAATACCAAAAAAAATAAATTTGATATCATAAACCTTCCACCACCTCACACCTATCTTCTAATTTTCTTGAACTCCTTTCCAAACAATAACCCGGCCAATAGCACAATTGCACAACTCTAAAGGGTGAACTATTCTTATCTTTCCCGAAACCCCTGAGATCCATAATAAACATAGAAGAAGATGGCAGAGGAGCCACTCAGGTCAACCTTGTCAAGTTAAACAACTTATTCCATAAAGACAAAGCCCTATGGCTTAAGCAGAAATAGATTGATACAATTGCATCCGCGCATAATGCACAACTATGAACACAGATAAACATTTGGCCTTCTCTTTCTGANCGGTTTTGTATTCTGATGTTTCTTCTTGTTCTTTGCTTGGTTATCTCTTTCGTTACTGTAGAAATATAGATGAGGACTTGTCTGTTACGTGATTTGGGGCTTGTGTTTCATTTGGATTATTTATTTGATTTAGAGTGTGTTGAGCAGACCGTGATCGTTGAGAGTATTCTATATGCCCTAATTTTCACCCCNTGGTCAGAAATCAGGAATGCAGATTTGGAAGCAATTTTTGAAAGTGAAATCAGCATCACAACAGAGAAATCCTCTTCCGAAGAATCAAAGACTAGCTTTAGACCCGTCTGTAAAGAAAACAATAATGAGTAATTCACGTACATATGCAAACATGCAAATATGTTTGTATATATGCATAAATATATTCAATGTACCCCTATTTGTTTGTTGCATTTACCTACAGAGCATCCCTATTTCAATAAAGAGTTATGTCCAATGTTACTATGATCATTGGTCGATTTAGACCAACTATTAGACAAGAAACGACTAGAAATTTATGGAGCAGTGCAGTTTGGGGGCCGTTCTCCAAAAGCTTTGAATGGTCAAACAGGAACACTGCAGCCAAAACCTGGTACAGATAGCATATATAATAGTTCCTCCTCATTAACCTTCCGTGGAGCCTTAGATTTCAAAATCATGAATGAGGGTTGGAAAATTAGGAAACCTGGCTTATCTATCAAGGAGTCAAAAAAAAAAAGACTTCAAAGAGAACTCCCCTGAAGAATAATTAGTCCATTCTCTACGGTCCAAAGAAGAAGGATTCAACACAATATTGTCCAGAATACCTAGAAGAGAGGACATCTCAACAAGTTCTCTGTCGTTCAAGTTCCTAAAAAAGTCAAAGTCCCAACAAGTCGGAGAAGAAAATGATGAGACGATCATGCTAGAAATAGATATGCTGGGATATCTATAAAGAAGAGGAAGAGAGAATTTTTATGCAAAGGGTAGAACAATTATTATTTTCATTCCTACACTCATCTCTATTTATATTACTAAGAATATTAGAAAATTACAAGAATGTTGATCATCCTCTATTGCAATAAATTCTAACAATACATATGAAGGACGATGCCCACTTTGTTTCAAAATGGCCATAAATACACTCATTACATGCAAAATAACCATGCATGCTCATTTGTAAAAGACATAAAGGCAGAGGAGATACATAACCTTATAAGTTTTACTTGCAAGCAAAGATGAGCACCCCAGTTTAGAAAAAGCTTGCCCTCCTGCTAACCTTAGAACAGTTGATGTCTCAGACGATGTCACCAAATTAACCAGCATCTCCAAGAGAATATAAGCAAAGTCATCTGACAACTCACAAAAGCATCCCGCGGCAAATAATGAGGCCTTTACCTGTAGAGGTTGAGTAGCAGTTCCACTCAGATGGGTAGTCTATCAGAGCATTACAAAAAGAAAAGCAGAAAATAATAGGTCGGAAGAGTAAAAAACAAAGAAATAAAATATTTAGATATGTTAAAAAGAGTTAAATTTGAAACGGTCATGCTCAGAATCATAACCTAGGGAGTTCCTCAACAGCTAGTAAAGCTGCCATTATTTTTGGATACAAAACAAAAAATAATTGATAAATAAGCATTACATAACTGAAGCCCTAAACAATACCAAAAAAAATAAATTTGATATCATAAACCTTCCACCACCTCACACCTATCTTCTAATTTTCTTGAACTCCTTTCCAAACAATAACCCGGCCAATAGCACAATTGCACAACTCTAAAGGGTGAACTATTCTTATCTTTCCCGAAACCCCTGAGATCCATAATAAACATAGAAGAAGATGGCAGAGGAGCCACTCAGGTCAACCTTGTCAAGTTAAACAACTTATTCCATAAAGACAAAGCCCTATGGCTTAAGCAGAAATAGATTGATACAATTGCATCCGCGCATAATGCACAACTATGAACACAGATAAACATTTGGCCTTCTCTTTCTGAGGATATTGGAAACTTCCCCTTCCAACTCCATTAGCATGCATCACAGGTTCCCTTTCAACTCCAATAACATCCCACCCATTGGCATTTGCCTAGATTTTCTCCCAACTGCAACAGGAAAGTAAGCAAGTCTTATTACAACCATTCTGCTAGTCCACAAAATAGTGTCCTCAAAACGTCGCTAATTAGGATTTACAATTGATCACATGTGAACTCTATGATTCATGCACAGAAAAAAACAAAAAAAAAAANTTGGTATCAGATCCTAAATTCCCTTCGTACAAATATTCAACCATATCACAGTTCATCAAACCCCAACTGTTCCTTGTTTCATCGCCGTCCACTCACGATACTTTACCGTCTACGAACCAGACCAGTCATAGCTTTGAAACACTGTCGTCATCAAAATATTGCTTCCTTGTCGTCACCGTTGGAAGTCCCGCTAGGGTTTGCAATTTAGAACCATCGCGAGGAAGAAGACCTTGGCAACAAACTGAGGTGTAAAATTCTCTAAATCAGAAAACGATCCATCGCATACCCACTTGACGCGATAAATTCGGCCCGATATCTAGATTAGCAACCCGTTTTGTGAATTCTTGGCCGAACACCATAAAACCCAAACCCATACCTGAGACTTCTCAACCAGCCCAGTCCAACCCAACTTGATTTTTCAAACCAGTCCGAANCCAGATTAACAACCCGTTTTCTGAATTCTTGGCCGAACACCATAAAACCCAAACCCATACCTGAGACTTCTCAACCAGCCCAGTCCAACCCAACTTGATTTTTCAAACCAGTCCGAATAAACCCTTTACCCTAGGGCGTGTTTGATATGTTTTGTTGGGTTAGATAACTTGGATAGCACTTTGTAATTTGGGTTAATTAAAGGCGGGTCCACAGTTGTGGACTTTTAGGACAATTAGTCTATCCACATATTTTTTTGGGTTTTAAAAGATAATTAAAGACATAAAGACTAATTTATTCTTAATGACATAAATAGTTACATATTACAAAATAGACGGTAGCAGTGAAACAATAATAATAACACAATAACAATGACATGGTGATAATGTCATTGTTCAAATTTCACGAAACTATACAGTGATTTGAAGTGTCATTGTGTCAATATGGTTGTCATGCTAAATTAAAATTAAATTCTATCAATTTAAAATTTAATNTGCACATATTTTTTTGGGTTTAAAAGATAATTAAAGACATAAACACTAATTTATTCTTAATGATATAAATAGTTACATATTACAAAATAGACGGTAGCAGTGAAACAGTAATAATAACAAAATAACAATGACATGGGGATAATGTCATTGTTCAAATTTCACGAAACTATACAGTGATTTGAAGTGTCATTGTGTCAATATGGTTGTCATGCTAAATTAAAATTAAATTCTATCAATTTAAAATTTAATTTCACCAAATTAACACTAAATTAACCCTTAATTTTATCAAAATGAACATTCAATTCTATCAAATGAACAATCAAAATTATCAATTAAACATTTAATTGCATCAAACAAATATCTAATTTTATTTAATTAATTTTTAGTTTTATCAAATTTAACATTAAATTTTATTATCAAATTTACATTAAATTAATATTTTTTATCAATTTAAAATTCAATTTCATTAAAGTAATACCAAATTTATCAAATTAACATTAAATTCTGTCAAATTAATATTCTATTTCATCCAAATAATGTTTTTTTATTAGGTTCCAAATAATGTTCAAGTTCATCAATTTACCACATGATTTCATTAACTTAATTATTCAATTTCATTAAATTAAGACTAAATTGGTCTTCATTTTTATCAAACAGTCATTCAATTTTCAACTAATTAACATTCAATCGATGAAAAAAACTGCATAATGATGATGAGCTGTGTTGATGACTTTTGGGTGTCTAAGAGAGAGAGAGAGAGAGAGAGACGCGAAAGACAGTTGTTTGGGATTAGTTTTGTTCAAAAAGAGAATAAAGGATGTTTGGGTTTAAAGGCAATGTTTTATAGCTTTATATTGAAAGGGCAAAGCTATCATTTACAATTTTTTTTTTTTTTTGCTGGTTAGAAAAAAGACGGGGGTAAGGAAGAGCGCCCAAAAACCACCCGACCGGTGGGATCATAAGGCCCCTGACCGCGCCTAAAATATCTTTTGGGATCAAATCTAACTAAACTAACATAACGATCAATTATCAAATCACAATAAGAACTCCAAAACTCGTACTCTTCACCTCAAGATGAGAAATATATCATTTACATATCTAGTTTTGTTAATAGTGTCATTTTTTGGAAATGTCAGTGACGTGTAATATGTGAATCGAAGATGACAATGATATTTCAGACATCATAGGGAATATCCCTATAATTAGGCTATTTTTTAAGAGATGTCGATGATATTTACCCAATTATCAAAAGTTACAGTCCACGTCCTAATCTGATGTTTGCCTAGCCAAGTATCGTGCCTTGAAAGGAGTACGTGCTATTTCTTTTCAATTCATGAAAAAAATCCCCTAAAATTGTAAATTTTTTTCGTACAATCCTCAATGCTGGACATTTCAACTAACAAATTACCCAATGCTAGACAACTCATTAAACTCATACGTAACTTTCTTTTATTTTCTTTGTCTGCTCTAATTTTAAATAGTTTAATTATAGAAAAAAAATTATTGTTTAAAATATAAATATTGTACATCAATACTTATTTTTTGGTATTGAAGAGTGTTACCAGGCACGTGATTATTATCAATTTTTTTATATCATATTTGAAAAACATCTTTTATTTTAAATTATTTATAATTGTTAATCATAAATAAAAGAAACTAATTGAAAATAACAAAGTACAAAACCATTAATAGATAAATTCATAAATAAATGGAATCTGAATTGAAATCCAACTTGTTGCATATAAAACTGTATTTTGGTTTATCAATCAAATCTGAACACGAATCTTATATTGTATTTTACAGATTTAAAAATATACTAATATTTAGTCTTTTTTATTCGAATGATATCAAATTTGAATGTCCCATACTTGATATTTAATGCATCTGATTATGAAATATTAGAAAAAAAAATTTAAAATTAAGAAATGTCACTATTAAATAAAATTCAAATAGATGAAAAATCAATTGGAATCTAATATATTGTTAAAAAAAAAAGTGTAGCGGCATCATGTTCAATGTACACCGTCAGGAACACGCCGACACGATAACTCTGCCACATCCTATAAAAAAATTGCGGGGTAAGCGAGGATAAATGGATCCCACATTATTAAATAATCATTTATCCAACAATAAGATATTATTAAGGTTAATTCGTGGCTGTAATTCCACTAAAATTTTAAAATAGGTATCGGTGGTAGTTGGATGAGTTTGTTTGAAATCTTCATATGAGTTTATTGAAATTTGTTCTATTTTATATTAGGAAAAGACTATTTTAACTTAATTTAGGGATCTAATGATATGACTTTAATGCAACTATTTTATTAATTGTGAGTTTCATTTAACATTGAAATTTATAATTAATCTAATAGTTTCATATCATTAGGTATGTAAATAAGGTCCTTATAACATTGGAACTTACAATTGATCGATCATGAACTTTTTTTTTTTTTTATGCCTAAACCCCTGGCTAGTGATGCATGGAGCATCGCCCAAATCGATCATGGATTTCCACTGAGTAGTTGTAACTTCTTCCTTGTGAGTTACAACTTAACGTTTAAAAGTCATAACTTCGTTATCAATCCCAATATATCATAATTGATCATGACTTTTAAAAGTTGTAACTTGCATCTCAAAAAAGTTTTAATTTAACCTTAAATGATTGTAAATTTTGGTACGATACCAAAGACGGTACTGTAGTCTTTCCCTATAAACGTGGACAAGTGAATCTCACATAATTAAATAACTACCTATTCATATCATGCATTAACTACCTTTTGTGGGATCCACTTACCCACGTGGTATCTTATCATTAGATGGTTAAGTCATTTAATTATGATGAGATAGTGTAACGGCTACACCCAATATATTTAATAAATTCGCTTTTAAATAAATTAAATTGATATCAGTATTTTTTTTATATTGTATTTTCATTTTTTAACCATCAAGAACATGTCACATTTATATTTTTTATTATTTTATTATTTTTTAAATAAATCGTTAGTTTTATTTTAAGATTGATGGAGATATAATACTAAAATTGGTACGTTGGCCTTACTCATTAAATTGATACTATATTAATTGTTTTCAGATTTTTATAGATGTTTTAATAGGAAAAAAAAAGCAATAAGTTATAAGTTGAATACAGGTAAGGTAATTTACTACAAATTTGCCATTAAAAAGAAAAGACACAAGGCAAGAACTTCTGTCTTATTTAATTTCAAAACTAACACTAGATTACAACTTAATTCACTGAAATTACTTAGAATTGATACTAGTTTTTAAGATCAATATTTATTTTATTTAAATCATAACAAGCCTCTTTTTGAAAATTTTGCTTCAAATAAATTGTAATTAATCTTTCAAAAATCATTGATTCTTAATATTATACCTCATTTATAACAATATCTAAGGCAGTAAGTGGATAGTATTGTGTTGGGTTCATACGGTATCTAGTTATTAGATTAGTATCATTCATAAGTTATACAATAATTGTGTGGTCTTTGGTAATTTATAGGTTTTAAGTTCAATATTTTTCATACCTCCTAAAGGTTTGTTTGGATGAATTTTGGCGAGAAGTTTGGATTAATTTCTCCGTTCCCTTCTAAATTCAAACCTCTCTTTGTAAAAATGAGATTCAACATTTAATCTGGTCCATACCCATTTTTAATATGTAACACATATATATGTATGACTCACTGATATATCATAATTATTAATAACTATTTGTCCTATAAATAATTATTTTACTCTTGATCAATCTAATTTATACTTATGTTAAAGGGTACAATTGTCTTTTGGATCCTTAACCTCTTATCCATCTTCACAAATCCACCCCCTTCCTTAGGTTTGACAAAACTCATGACCATAGGTTTAATCTTTAGACTAGCTACGGGTTAAGTTTGAAAACTCGAGATTGAATTTTCCAAACAAACGTAGGATGTAGGGGAGTTTTGGACTATTTTCCCCAACCTATCTTGTCAAGCCCCCATACCCATTAACCAAACAACTCCTAAAGGTAAGTCATTCGTGTTTCTCAGGGAACATGTTCTATCTTGCTTAGACTACAAAGGTCAATATCTAAGCTCGATGAAATAGTCAACACAAATTTGAACATTCTGTAATAAAAAAAAAAAAAACACGACTCATGTCGTGCTTAGTAAAATTAATGTTGGCCAATTTATTTAAGGATTAATTGTAATAGAGGTCTCTAAAATATAAATTTTGTCTTATTTTAGCCCCCATTATTTCAATTGTAGCATTTTGATCTCTAAATTATTAAATATGTTTTCTGTGTGTTCTTTTAAGTAGACAATACCTAAATTCCTAATATTTATTTTTTATCATAAATTTGTCATGTGATATTTAAATATGAGTAACTCTTGACAAAAAATTGGATTGTTCTTGACAAAAAATACGTAATATTGATAATTGTTGATCAAAATTTGGATAGCTTACGATCAAAATTGTGTAATTTTGATAATTTTTTGACCAAAATTTGGATAAAAATTTGGTCAAGAATTATTCAAATTATTTATTTTTTCATATTTAGGTATTATGTGACAAGTTTATAATAGAAAATTGTTAACAATCTGAACGTTGTCTATTTTAGGGATCATATAAAAAATATATGTGATACTTTGGAGATTAAAATGATACAATTAAAATATTGGAGACTAAAATTAGATAAATTTTATACTTTGGGACCCTCAGTACAATTAACCTTTTATTTAACATGTTTCATAAATTACTCACTTATCATTTTAGAGTTAATAATATTTTTTGTCCCTAAAATATATATTTTTTGTCAATTTATTACCTATTTTATCAATTTAGTTCCTAAAATATTCAATCCATATTACTTTAGTCCCTAATTAGATAATCCGTCAAGTTTTTTTACGAAAGCGATCGCATATCATTTTATTAGACAATATCACGTTTTCAATAAGTGATCATTCCGTCAAAAACTTAGCAACCCATCTATGTAGAAATCAAAATAACATGAATTAAATATTTTGATAATCAAATTGACAATATTTATATTAAAAAGATTAAATTAACAAAAAATACATATTTTAAGAACAAAAAATACAATTAACCCATCATTTTAATTAACTAAGATAAAATTTAAACTCAGACATGAATTTCATATCAAAATGATGGATTATGTTTAGAATTGTCGCGGTTAAATGCATAACCAATACAAAATCCCTTTTTTTTATTCGGTGCGGTGCCTTTGAAACGTGGAGGTTCCCTTCTTCACCAAGCTTAACTGGCAACTCCACTACAAGTCCCCACAACATATAAACCACTTCACAGTTCACACGGACTTGTATGTTGAACTTGAACCTGTGCATCAATCACCATAAGGAACTTTTCCCTCTCTATCCTCTCTTCATTTTCACTCTCCAACCAAAAATGTCACCCACAAACAACGCGTCCCCAACCTCCACCACCACCGCCATATTCATCCTCCTCCTCCTCCTCTTCAACCCATCTTCTTCAAGTCCAATCAAAACAGTGGTCGTTCTGGTAATGGAAAACCGCTCGTTCGATCACATGCTGGGTTGGATGAAGGAGCTCAACCCAGAAATCAATGGTGTAGATGGCTCAGAATCAAACCCAATGTCCACCACCGACCCGAATTCTCCGAAAATTTCATTCAGCAACCAAGCTCACTTCGTCGACCCTGACCCGGGACACTCATTCCAAGCCATTCGCGAGCAGATCTTCGGGTCTAATAACACCTCCCTGAATCCACCACCCATGAATGGATTCGCCCAACAAGCTCACTCCATGGACCCCAACATGACCCAAAGCGTCATGAATGGGTTCATCCCTGACATGGTAATGGTACTCTCTCACTCTCTGTGTCTGTTTATTTAATTGGTTTAACTGCAGCGGTGGTCCGTCCTCAAAGTTTGTCCTTCGTCTTAGTTTGGTTCCAATATTATAATTATATCATGTATTTTAAACTATCTCTATCTCTTACTTTGTTTACTTAAAATGCTAGACTCGTATTCATGTAAAATGACATAATTTTTTTTTTTTAAACCTAAATCAAGAAAGAACTACTTCTATATTCAAATCTTTAACAATAAAATTTTACTCTTCTTTAAAGATTTCCAAGATATACTCTCCATCTCATTTTAATCCCCAACTTTATAATAGTATTTTGGAGACCAAAATGCCACAACAGGTATATTTTGAAGACTACTATAGTAATTTTTTGGTCAAGTAAATAATAATTTATCTAAAATATCCTTCCTTTATGGCACAAATAAGGGAATGTTCTACCTTAACCAAGGTCTCGAGTTCGAATCTTAGGAACACAGATGCATTCGATAGGGAGAGCTTGGTCACTCTTGTGGTCTTATCCGGCTTGAATTCGGATTAGTCAGGGCTCAAAGTAACTTTCAGATACCGGACGGTCTGACAAAAAAAATTAAAACGACATTACACGTGGAAATTACTTAAAAATTAATTTAATATATTAAAGATTAATGTAATATAATTATATAATATTAGAGCAATGTTACATGGATTTAAAAATTAGACTTGATAATTTCAACAATTGTGAGTCCCGACATTTATTAGGACCTATTACCTATTCTATAGTTGAGATTATCAAATTTAATTTTTACTTTCGCGTAGCATTACTCGTAATATTAAGACCAAAATGAGGTTAAGGCCAAACTCTGTATACCACCGCTGCAATTAATCTTATTTAGACAATATGATTATTTTGAATTGAATTGAAAGTTCAAAAAGATTTTCATATTTGCTTGAATGATTCTCAGGTTGCGGTCTACAAAGCTCTTGTCTCTGAGTTCGCCGTCTTCGACCGGTGGTTCGCCGCCGTTCCATCTTCAACGCAACCAAACCGCCTCTACGTCCACTCAGCGACGTCCCATGGTGCCACCAGTAACATTCCGGCGTTGCTCGCCAAGGGTTACCCACAACGCACAATCTTCGAAAACCTCGATGACGCCGGAATATCCTTCGGAATCTATTTCCAGAATATTCCGGCGACTCTTTTCTACAGAAACCTGAGGAAGCTCAAATACCTTGGTAAATTTCACCCTTACGGCTTGTCATTCAAGCAAGATGCTGAAAAGGGAAAGTTGCCGGGTTATGTTGTGGTCGAGCAGCGGTACATGGACTCTAAGTTGGAGCCCGCTAACGNCGACAACAGGTATATTTTGAGGACTATTATAGTAATTTTTTGGTCAAGTAAATAATAATTTATCTAAAATATCTTTCATTTATGGCATAAAGAAAGGACTGTTATATCTTAACCAAGGTCTCGAGTTCGAGTCTTGGGAATACAGATGCATTCGATAGGGAGAGCTTTGCCGCCCTTGTGATCTTATTCGGCTTGAATTCGGATTAGTCAGAACCCAAAGTAACTTTCAGATACCGAATGGTCTGACAAAAAAAATTAAAACCACATTATACGTGGAAATTACTTAAAAATTAATTTAATATATTAAAGATTAATGTAATATAATTATATAATATTATAACAATGCTACATGAATTTAAAAATTAAACTTGATAATTTCAACCATTAATTTTACTGTGAGTCCCGACATTTATTAGGACCTATTACCTATTCCATAGTTGAGATTATCAAATTTAATTTTTACGATCGCGTAGCATTACTCATAATATTAAGACCAAAATGAGGTTAAGGCCAAACTCTGTATACCACCGCTGCAATTAATCTTATTTAGACAATATGATTATTTTGAATTGAATTGAAACTNTAATATTAAGACCAAAATGAGGTTAAGGCCAAACTCTGTATACCACCGCTGCAATTAATCTTATTTAGACAATATGATTATTTTGAATTGAATTGAAACTTCAAAAAGATTTTCATATTTGCTTGAATGATTCTCAGGTTGCGGTCTACAAAGCTCTTGTCTCTGAGTTCGCCGTCTTCGACCGGTGGTTCGCCGCCGTTCCATCTTCAACGCAACCAAACCGCCTCTACGTCCACTCAGCGACGTCCCATGGTGCCACCAGTAACATTCCGGCGTTGCTCGCCAAGGGTTACCCACAACGCACAATCTTCGAAAACCTCGATGACGCCGGAATATCCTTCGGAATCTATTTCCAGAATATTCCGGCGACTCTTTTCTACAGAAACCTGAGGAAGCTCAAATACCTTGGTAAATTTCACCCTTACGGCTTGTCATTCAAGCAAGATGCTGAAAAGGGAAAGTTGCCGGGTTATGTTGTGGTCGAGCAGCGGTACATGGACTCTAAGTTGGAGCCCGCTAACGATGATCATCCGTCGCATGATGTGTATCAGGGTCAGATGTTTGTGAAGGAGGTGTATGAGATACTGAGGGGTAGCCCACAGTGGAATGAGACTTTGCTTGTGATCACCTATGATGAGCATGGTGGGTTCTATGATCATGTGGCGACACCTATCAGTGGGGTCCCTAGTCCGGATGGGATTGTGGGTCCTGAGCCCTTTTTGTTTCAGTTCAACAGGTTGGGGGTTAGGGTTCCTACTATCATGGTCTCTCCTTGGATTGAAAAGGGTACTGGTAAGTCCTCGACCCTCCNTTGTGGGTCCTGAGCCCTTTTTGTTTCAGTTCAACAGGTTGGGGGTTAGGGTTCCTACTATCATGGTCTCTCCTTGGATTGAAAAGGGTACTGGTAAGTCCTCGACCCTCCATTCTTCACTATCTGATTATTGCACCTTCTGGGAATGCCTTAGTCCGGCGAGGCTCGTCTGTCTTTAACCAGATCGAAGAAAAAATTAATTANCCATTCTTCACTATCTGATTATTGCACCTTCTGGGAATGCCTTAGTCCGGCGAGGCTAGATCGAAGAAAAAATTAATTGAAATGTGTATAAAATAGAGTAAAAAACAAACTTATCATCGATTCAACTATGATTTTGATATCANCAGATCGAAGAAAAAATTAATTAAAATGTGTATAAAATAGAGTAAAAAACAAACTTATCATCGATTCAACTATGATTTTGATATCATACATCCACTTTTCATTCGTTAAAAATATGATACATATGAAATTTTATTATTTTAGTTTTACTTTATTGCTTTTGCTATAAACACATCAAATTATGACCATTAAGTAGGATAGTCTAGTAGAGTACCAGTCTTACTCCTTATCTTGAAGTTGGAAGTTCAAGTCTTAGAGTGTCCATTGGAGTTTAGTGATTGACCGCTATACTAGCCTAATTAGGTCTAATTNTTATTGCTTTTGCTATAAACACATCAAATTATGACCATTAAGTAGGATAGTCTAGTAGAGTACCAGTCTTACTCCTTATCTTGAAGTTGGAAGTTCGAGTCTTAAGTGTTCATTAGAGTTTGGTGGTTGACCGCTATACTAGCCTAATTAGGTCTAATCCCGATAGGTGTTCCAGGCGTGGTCAGAACCTTATGATCCTACCGGTGAGGGTCTATCGAGGTGATTGCTAGATACTTTTCCTTGTCCCCATCGTTTTTTTTAATCAGCAAAAAAAAAAAAAAAAATACATCAAATTATGGCTACTACTTTCTGATTGTTCAAAAAAAAATTATGGCTACTACCAAATTTCGGCATGATACCATAGTCTTACCATATCCACTTATCATTTATTACTCAGAAGTTTTCACTACAAACAATGAGTGTTGTGCATTGGATACTGTCTTTTACCCATGTAGATAAGCCTGCTTGTGTTCATATGGTGAGCCTCTTTCTGAGAATAGTCTAACGTGTCAGATTTTGACTGAGTATATTTTTAAGTGTTTGATTTTTTATTTTGTTTCTTTATTGTTGAGTGTGCAATAAGTGATCTAACAAACGCTTTCTCAACAAAGGATTGAAAATGATGTGCACTATGAATTTTTTTTTTTTTTTTTTACTTTGTTCCTTCAACTATCATATTTGTTCACATTATACCCTCAACTATGTGATTAGTTTCACATTGTCCCAATTATTAAAATCCATTGCATATTTAATGGAAAGGTATTTCATTTTGTCTCGAACTATATAATTTTTTTTACTTCGTCCCGACACTTTAGAAATTTTCATCTAAAAAGATAACCAAAGTAGTTGAAGGGACAATGTAAAAAGGGAAATACTATGTAACCTAAATTTGTAATCCAAATTTACATCCTAAAGTTTTCGTTCATTGCAATTATATGTACTTTGCCCCCCCTCCTCAGGCTAAACTGTTTTAATTTTTTGTGCATGTTTCTATGTTTGCGTTTGTTGAGTTGAGTACATATTTATTACAATGGTGATGCCAAATCATCACCAACAAATAGTACTATCATGAGTTAATGAGCCCATATGTAATAACTATTGAATTATGATGGATGTCGTAATTATTGGATTTAGAGTGTTTTACTGTATTATATGATAATTTTATTGGATGGTGATATCTCGTGTTGATAAAGATACAATGTCACCATTATGTTAGACATTTACTTGTCTTTGTATATGCATTCGCGATTGGTCTTTTTGGAAGAATAGTTAAGACATACTTTAAGAGAAANTACAATGTCACCATTATGTTAGACATTTACTTGTCTTTGTATATGCATTCGCGATTGATCTTTTTGGAAGAATGGTTAAGACATACTTTAAGAGAAGNGTGTTGATAAAGATACAATGTCACCATTATGTTAGACATTTACTTGTCTTTGTATATGCATTCGCGATTGGTCTTTTTGGAAGAATAGTTAAGACATACTTTAAGAGAAATCCTGCACAGCCATGACTTCACAGCTTCTATTTGAAGAACTGAATTCGAAACACCAGTATCTGGCAACAAGATTCGAGTCTTTTAGGCTATGACGGGTGCAGTGGGGAGGGTTTCGGCGTTGGGAAAGATAAAATACAAATCGGCAGGCTTGGTTTGACCAGAAACGAAAATGTTGATTGTGATATTTATTAGCACCATTAATTAATTGTTATTTAAACCTTGGGAGAAGGTATCTTGTGTTATTTACTGTGATTTCCAGGGAAAAAAAATAAATTCAGGAATGTTGGGTTTATGCTTGTCATGTCTTTAGAACATGTTATTTCTTTTTGGAAATTGATCGGAAAGAAATTTGAACAGTCATAACATTTTATAAATGGTTCGTTAGAGGTCCCTTGTTGTTATAATCTTACTTTGATCTTGGGTCTCGGTTATGAAAGAGTTTAAAGGGATTCCACTTTTTTCAATACAAGCGAAGATGGAGAGAATCATGTGATTTGTAGGCTATCCATGTTTTTTATTGTGTTTGTACTATTGCTCTTTTGTTTTCTGTTGGTTGGTGTTCTTATCCAACCTCTTTGATGTACATTCCCAACTGAATGAAAACTGAAACTAAAGATGCTTATGATTGTGATGCAGTTGCTCATGGGCCTAACGGATCACCTTTCCTGGCATCAGAATATGAGCATTCGTCGATTCCGGCAACAGTAAAGAAGATCTTTAACTTGACCTCACCCTTCCTAACTAAGAGGGATGAATGGGCTGGTACCTTTGAGGCCATTCTCCAAACTCGGAAAGAACCTAGAACTGATTGCCCAGGTTAGTCTTCTTAACTTCAGCGCAGGCTTTACAAGCTGAAAAAATGCAATGCTCTGTTCCCCGAGTCCTTGCACTGAAATGGTGCATAACTCAACCCGATCTTCTTAGGGTTGAACTTTGTCAATTTGCTCGAGTTCAACCATGCACCGTTAAATTTGTTGATCTAGTACTAGATGTTTTTGGTACCACAGATAACTTTTCTTTGCTTATGTCTCTTTGTCACACCCTAGGTTACCCAGCCAATACGATGTATGTTACCTCGACCCAAACCCCCACTCTTGAATATCGACATGANACTTTGTCAATTTGCTCGAGTTCAACCATGCACCGTTAAATTTGTTGATCTAGTACTAGATGTTTTTGGTACCACAGATAACTTTTCTTTGCTTATGTCTCTTTGTCACACCCTAGGTTGCCCAGCCAATACGATGTATGTTACCTCGACCCAAACCCCCACTCTTGAATATCGACATGCGTTGTCCCAGCAGGCCATCTCTTATAAAATCCATGTTAGTCAACAGCTAATAAACAAATAGATGCAATAGTGACACATAGAAGACCTAATCATGCTCTGATACCAACTTGTCCAATTTTGCAGATTATTATTATTATTATTTTAAAAAAAATCAAACACATTAAATAAATGACTGNAATCCATGTTAGTCAACAGCTAATAAACAAATAGATGCAATAGTGACACATAGAAGACCTAATCATGCTCTGATACCAACTTGTCCAATTTTGCAGATTATTATTATTATTATTTTAAAAAAAATACTAATTAATTCATCAGAGCCCTACCCGACCTCCAATTAATCCATTGAGTCAACCCCTAACTTGTTGGGTTCGTTTTAACCCTGATTTGTCCCGACTCAATTTTCTTTACTCGAACGCCACTATCCTTGTATTTTGAACTTCACACCTACATCGAACACGTATGCAAGTAGTTTGATGTCTCCCTTTCTTGGTCCGGTTCTCTGCACTCATCCTCATGCACTCCATTTACACACTCTGTGTCCACGAATAATCGAGCTTGGTTCCCAAGATAAGCTCTTACAACTTTGAAAAGCCTTTTTCAAAACCTAGCATTAAGGGCATTACGACAAAGGAATGGAGAAAAACTTGTGATTGGTGTTCTCTCCTGTCACCGAGAATGATCAACCCTACAATGAGAGATTGCTGTTCGTTTCACAGCAGTTGTAGCCTCCTCTCGACGAGGCCCTTTATTCCCTGTTCCATCGCACGCTGCAAAATGGTAGGGTTCACCGGGTGCAGGTGTCAATACTCTTTTTCAGCAATTTGATTGAGTCACTTTTTAACACATTCTTTTTTACTATTTGAATAGAGACACTCCCAACTCCAGCTAAAATCCGGCAAGGCGAAGCCGACGAAGATGCCAAGCTGAGTGAATTCCAGCAGGAGCTACTGCAACTTGCAGCAGTGCTTAAAGGAGAAGATATACTTTTAAGTTATCCAGAAAGGATTGGAAAGCAAATGACTGTCAAAGAAGGGAAAGAATACATGGAGGATGCAGTAAAGAGGTTCTTCGAAGCAGGACTAGCAGCCAAGGAAATGGGTGTTGATGTAGAACAAGTTGTCAAAATGAGGCCCTCCCTCACTACAAGATCTTCTAAACCTTCAATTGAACATCCATAAAAAAAACATATTTTTCGTTACTTTGGGCACAACAAGTTGTGGTAACATGGTTATGTATCTTACGGTCAACATACTGGATGAGAAATGTATTTTATACCTGTACTCGTGTTTGAAAATATTATATAAAATTAAAAACTGAATTAATCTTGTGATATTTATATTTTAAGTCATAATTTAGTGTTTAAAATTATATCATTTCAAATTAATATGATAAAATGAAGAGAGAGATAGGCATAAATTAATAAAATTGTTTGACTTTAGAAAATGTGTTGATTGAGTTGTTTAAGTGTCGTGCAGAAAAAGCGGGAATAATTTTATATCATTAGATTAAAATAGATAAAGATTATTATTGTGCTTTTATAAATTGAAAATTCAACTTCTTCAAAATTCAAATTTTTTGCTGTAATATTAAATATATAATAATGCAGAGCTTCTTACTTAAATACCTGATTTAGAAAAGCACAATGATCCATATCGTTTAAGATCTAAAAGTTTATCTTATTACTTACATTTAACCACAGTATTGGTTGGGAAGAGAATGCCATGGGGGTACTCCACCTATTGAGTTGTGAGGCCCTTCCAAGTGGTATCAAAACAAGACTCAATGAGTCAACCCTGTATACACATTCAAACTATATATAGAGATATACAAGTAATATGTACAAATTTATATATGTCCTCACAAATAAGTTAGTGCAAATAGAGATCAGCATCATGAGTGCTGGAGTGATGAACATCACAAACCTTCATGGCCACTCAATGGCTTTGCAAAACATTAATTAGTTCAGAACCTTACATATATGGACTGTCAAACTTCATGTTTCCAGAACTAAAAGTTATGCCTATTTTCTCCAGTTTTGACTATTGGAGCCACAATCAATTCCAAGGATTTAGACATTGAAAATAACCATAAACTTACACAAATTTCAATAGGTAAAATAGAATATTTGTACAACAAGAATACAAGCCATTGTCATTGGATATCAGAAGTTCCGAAGAGAGATTCTATCGTTTGACAAATCAAAATATTATTCTCTTCTAATTCTATAGTTCTTTGTTTACCTGTATTTGTATTTATGCATTGTTACTGAAGGCTGTCAACTTTAGTCATTTTCCAACACAAAGAGTCCTCAATCGATCTTCTACATTAGACAACGAAAGTTTCCAAATCAGGGGCCGAAGTCATATTGTTTTGATCTCAACCACTATCTACTCTGCATCCCACCCAGGAATATTAGCAGTGGCCTCATTTACCATCTTTACAAGTCTTACCTGTGAACACATTCAATGAAAAAATTATAGCATTCATGATATACGTATCTTATACAACCAAATCAAGGCTCCACAAAGAAATGAGTGCTTTTCTTCGAAAAGCCAATATATGAAAATTCATTTTTCTCACAACAGAAATCTCTTATCATGGTAAAATCACTCAAACAGACTACTAAGAAAAATCATCTTTCCAAAACCCCAGTTTTGATAACAAAGGATCCATTTCTCATCTAAAGTGGTACATGACTCATACAGAATGGATGCATGTAATATACATCTATTCTTGACATGGACAATGAGTGAAAGTCCCAGTCAGATCTAACTGCAACTGGAGAACCAACTTAAATATTTAATCAATCTGTTCTATCATCTATGCAAATGACTAAAAGGGCAAATAGCCAGAATGATGAATTCGGTTTTCCAATATTTTTTTTTTTGTTAAAGGCAATAAAACCGGACCCTAGTTTGTGCATAGAAAAATAAGAACACATCTATCAAAGATTCGCAAAGTAGGATGTAACCCATCATACGAATGGTGGATAATGGCAAAGGTTGTCAAAAATGGAAGTGGGTTGCTGGCCAGTGGCACAACACTGAGCTGAGCTTGTCAGAGAAGGTGCTTGGGATTCAGAGGGAAAAAGAGGAGCAAGAGACTTATCTATTTTTTTTGGTGGTGTGGTAGGAGGCTAAGGAAGAGACAGAGGTAAAGGTTCCGGCAGGATCAGTGAGCATAGTTTCAACATGATACAAAGAGGTCAGTTTTCAGCTTTGTTTGGGACCTATTCAGGTTTAATAGGTTGAATTGATGTAAATCATATTTTTTTTTTAAAAAAAAGGCTGGTATACAATTTATCCGTACATGTGTTGGATTTTTAGAGCTCTGCTTGTTCAATTAAATGTCGTGTGTTGAACTGATCAATCCCAACTCAACCCTACAACTAAGGAAGTTTTGACGAACTAACAATTGTTATTTAATCAATATGAAGAACTAGAAATGGAGCTTAAAAAAGATTACGTCATTAAACAAACCAAAAAGACAAAAAGTATAGCAGAAAATATAGGTATACACATATAATGACAGCCATGTAGCCCAGGGAATGTGCAACTGAAAGTTACCCCGTATAACCTCGGATAAGTGGGATCAATCATAATAATCCAAAATTTATAATGCAAGAAAGTGTAGTAGGCAGCCAGAAGTCCAATACTCTCTGTAAGTTCTTCTATTATATTCCAAAGTGACCATAATATTCGAAATGATATAACTTGTGTATTATATGGTCATGACCCAAGACCTCATATCTCATCCACCAGCTCACAAAAGAGAAGGCATTAAACAGGACATGCATGCCTCTATCCTAAAACAGACAGATTTCTAGACGAGAGAAAGATAAACAAAATTAGGGGAAGAGGCAGGAAAGAAAGCTGGGAAATAAACTAACACAAAAAATTAAGTGCAGATTCCATTTTACCCCTTGTGTGTAACACTTTACCAATGTGCATTTATATCATTTTCCACAATAGCTGCCATAAATTCTGGCTACAACCTCCGACAACCATCATTGACAATGCGAACAAAACAATTAACCAAAACTCAAATGAACATGATNGCATTCATGATATACGTATCTTATACAACCAAATCAAGGCTCCACAAAGAAATGAGTGCTTTTCTTCGAAAAGCCAATATATGAAAATTCATTTTTCTCACAACAGAAATCTCTTATCATGGTAAAATCACTCAAACAGACTACTAAGAAAAATCATCTTTCCAAAACCCCAGTTTTGATAACAAAGGATCCATTTCTCATCTAAAGTGGTACATGACTCATACAGAATGGATGCATGTAATATACATCTATTCTTGACATGGACAATGAGTGAAAGTCCCAGTCAGATCTAACTGCAACTGGAGAACCAACTTAAATATTTAATCAATCTGTTCTATCATCTATGCAAATGACTAAAAGGGCAAATAGCCAGAATGATGAATTCGGTTTTCCAATATTTTTTTTTTTGTTAAAGGCAATAAAACCGGACCCTAGTTTGTGCATAGAAAAATAAGAACACATCTATCAAAGATTCGCAAAGTAGGATGTAACCCATCATACGAATGGTGGATAATGGCAAAGGTTGTCAAAAATGGAAGTGGGTTGCTGGCCAGTGGCACAACACTGAGCTGAGCTTGTCAGAGAAGGTGCTTGGGATTCAGAGGGAAAAAGAGGAGCAAGAGACTTATCTATTTTTTTTGGTGGTGTGGTAGGAGGCTAAGGAAGAGACAGAGGTAAAGGTTCCGGCAGGATCAGTGAGCATAGTTTCAACATGATACAAAGAGGTCAGTTTTCAGCTTTGTTTGGGACCTATTCAGGTTTAATAGGTTGAATTGATGTAAATCATATTTTTTTTTTAAAAAAAAGGCTGGTATACAATTTATCCGTACATGTGTTGGATTTTTAGAGCTCTGCTTGTTCAATTAAATGTCGTGTGTTGAACTGATCAATCCCAACTCAACCCTACAACTAAGGAAGTTTTGACGAACTAACAATTGTTATTTAATCAATATGAAGAACTAGAAATGGAGCTTAAAAAAGATTACGTCATTAAACAAACCAAAAAGACAAAAAGTATAGCAGAAAATATAGGTATACACATATAATGACAGCCATGTAGCCCAGGGAATGTGCAACTGAAAGTTACCCCGTATAACCTCGGATAAGTGGGATCAATCATAATAATCCAAAATTTATAATGCAAGAAAGTGTAGTAGGCAGCCAGAAGTCCAATACTCTCTGTAAGTTCTTCTATTATATTCCAAAGTGACCATAATATTCGAAATGATATAACTTGTGTATTATATGGTCATGACCCAAGACCTCATATCTCATCCACCAGCTCACAAAAGAGAAGGCATTAAACAGGACATGCATGCCTCTATCCTAAAACAGACAGATTTCTAGACGAGAGAAAGATAAACAAAATTAGGGGAAGAGGCAGGAAAGAAAGCTGGGAAATAAACTAACACAAAAAATTAAGTGCAGATTCCATTTTACCCCTTGTGTGTAACACTTTACCAATGTGCATTTATATCATTTTCCACAATAGCTGCCATAAATTCTGGCTACAACCTCCGACAACCATCATTGACAATGCGAACAAAACAATTAACCAAAACTCAAATGAACATGATCCTTAACCAGATTAATTACACACATGACTCTAAACCAATCTAGCCATCATTTTTGGACCACTACTACCACATTCATGAAAATCAAAAAATCAAATCACCATGATCTCTACCAATACGGTAGAGTACAGTAAATTATAAGATGATTCACCTACTCCAAATGACTGCAATCGAATTAACCAATGTGAATCCTATTAATGAATATTCAGACAATTAACAAAAGACCTTTGAACGCCCTGCGAATTTCCAACATTTGCCACAAATGATATATCAATACTACTGTAGTAAGTAAATGTTCATAACATTTCAAAGAGAGTGGATCTCACTTAAGACAAATATCTTAGGGTCTAGAGTAATTCATGCAATAATCTCATTTGACTATTTATGTAGAATATATTGGCTCATTGTTAACTTGAAGGCCTTAAGGTGCAGATAAGAGTTCGAAATCCCCATTATTCACAAACTAGTAAATGAATAGAAGATCAAACAAGGATGATCTCAACACCCCTTTCGGTCAAAAGTTGCACTGTAAGCTTCTTTGCCTACAAACTTTTTTTTCTTCTAAAAAATGCAGGACAGCCTAGCAAACTCTGGAATTATCGCTGGCTTGCTGGTAATTTGGTGACAAAGACTACTTTCAGAGAAGATGCGAAAACTGGAGAGAGAAAGGAGGAAAGTAACAAATGCTTGATTAAAAATGAGAAGTTAGAACAGGAAAGAAGTAGAAGATGGAGCTTTACCGAAGTTGCTCCTAGGATTTAAACAGTGGTAACTCCAACTAAAAACTTCAAATTCATTCAACAATGGCAACATAACACAAAGTGAGAATTATATCCCATACAAAGCATAACTTTAGGTGGTCACGTAGGGGTGAAGTAAACTACTAGGTGATCTGGTAGTGATAAGCAGGCGACTAAGCAGGCAACATTGTAGGAACCAAGAAGGGTATCACAAGGCAAAGCAACCCAAAAAAACCACAAAAGCATTTTATGACAAGAAGACATCCCTACAAAAGTGAAGTTGTTCTTTGATTGCTATTTCCTGCACTAATTTAGAGTAGATGCATCATGACAACCACATTGATATGGAACATAAGCCTCCCACCCATCAACTCCATAACTTAAAAGTATTTGGGATACCAATCCTTTTCCCCCCGGAAGAGGGAATCATATGGTTTTTCCATTCTCAGCCTCCCATCAAGAGGCACCCTCCTCCTCTGCGGAATAATAAAGGCAGACTGGGTGGGGCAGCATAGTGGTGAGCCCTGTGGCATAACATTTTTGAATTTTGATGTGAAATTTTTTCCTGTTTTTGCAGCTATTATTATATCTGATCCTTTTATTAATTTCCTAGTGAGGAATATCTAAGATTCCTAATGCTTTGATTGTTCATTTCTCTGTGAGGAATAACTCTGCTTAGTAGATTTTGGTGGTATTCAGGAATTTGAAGAGAATCTTAATTGAATAAAATTTGCAGACACATTTTATTGCTTTCTAAATCAATGAATTATAATTAAACAAAATGGCACCATGGGGTACAAAAAATTTCTAGAGCCCAAGAACATTTGTCCACTTGAAGAATACTTCTCAATAGTTACTTGAACAAAAAAGGGATAGCAATCCTTTGATTTAAATTGGAATTGAAGGACATTAAAAACTACTAGAGAAATAGAGGATGTGTCTGACAATTGAATAATTAAACAAAAAATCCTCATACTTGTTTGGCAATAAAATTAATCAAAAGTGATCCTACTCCCACAATTCTCCTAGATAAACATTTTAGTTCATTCAGAGCTTTGCCCCCCCCAAAAGCTCAAGTTGATGAGTAAATAGAACATAGGAATTGCTAACACAAAGCCCACAATCTCTCTCTCTCTCTCTTGTACCCGTTCAACAAAAATGCTCCAAAAGTTATGGGACAGGGACATTACTATATGTGCAATAAATGTTGATAATTTTGGCCTTTAGTAAGGGTTTATTTCTAATTTCTGCCCTCTTGGTTGTGTCAGTTTCTTTCTCAACACCAAGCTTTGACATCCATTGATACCAACAACCACAAACATCTACATGCCACAGGATAGACCATCAAAAACCATCAGCACTGGCCAATGCTGTTGTCATCATCAAATTGATTCCCCTTCAGACCAACAGAGGCTTTGATTTGCTTTCTTGTTTCTCTTGGTAAACAAATGCCTAGGCACCCAACCAAGATCTATTCTCAGGCTGTTGATGACATAGAAGAATTTCAGCTTTTCCTCTTTATTCTACCTCAGGATTCAACATACCACTCACCTCTTACGGAATCATTATCTGAATCCTTACATGCTAATCTATACTAATAAATGTCAGCATCCGCGAAAAAAATTTAGATTTCCTATATCATCCCTAAAGGCAATTATACCCACCTATATACTTTCATTTAATTTATGTTTTTTACACCTATTTGATTTTTAACTTGTTTTGGACTCTTTTATAAGACTTCTAAAGACTTTTAAACTCATTTATTAGTAGTACAATTACATGCAATTATACATATGAAGAAGTAAAGTCTTATATATGTTACCAGGTTGAATTCCACAGTTCAATATATGTTATATTTTATTTTTTTCTATGCAATAATATAATAATATTATACACGATCTAATTAATCTATTTAACAAAATAAAAATTAATAATTCTATAATATAATTTGATGTGCAAATGCGTAAAGGAGTCGAAGAGATATCTAAATAAATGACAAATTAAGTACTCAAAAACTTATATAATAAATTAATAATTCAATTTAGTAACAATTAAAAATTAGATTTTCTACTCGGCACCTAATATATTATTTAATTTAATTACATATAATTCACGTTTTTTATAAAAATAATATTATTTAAATTTATTTACGTATAACGCACGTCGTGCATTGCTACAAACTTTGTCTCATCTTTGGCATAGAACACAACCTATTGAAAGAAAAAGAGCTGTCAACCTAGATCATAGACAGACTGTCCATTGAGCAAATTCACCATCTTGGCATCTAACATTATTATGACAAAATTGGTAATAATGAGTCCATGAAAGCAAAAAAGATTTTTACACCGAGAAACCCTGGCTTGAACTATGATTTTTTGGAAACTATGGCTTGAACCGTGTTCAACACAAGAAAGTTAAGTTAAACAATGAAATGAATTCATCCATGACAAAACTTTTAAGATTTTAGGGATCAAAATACTATGAAAACATGAAATTAAAACCAAATTTGACCCTTACTATTAGCGGTGGCAACTTATGACCGGTGTAGAGGCAGAATTGAATTGATAAAATAGTGGTCACCAGAGATGCTTAGTTGCTTGCATCCTGGGCAGTTGGTGGTAACTGGTAAGTAACAATCAAGGGGAACTGGAGACTAAGATCTGGTTGTGGAAGTTGTTGGGGGCAGTCATCGAAATACTTTTGGAGGTGCTCTTAGGGGGTGGGTCATGTTATTTGGTGGACAGTAAGATCACAATAGAGAGAGGACTGATGAAAATTTGGTGTTTGGTGGAGCTTTGGGACACTTCAAAAAAAAAAAAAAAAGAGGCAGAAAATCAGCGATTGAGGTGTGGCACCTAGTTGTGATTAGTTGAGACAAGGAGGAGAGTCTTGGTGGTTGATAACTCTAATAATCATAAAATATATTACTTAGCCAAGAAAAAGAGAGTTGAAGACTGGAACTATACAATAAGTGTACAATCTCTGTCACTTCTGTCTGCTTATTGACCATCTTAGAACATCATGGGCAATCTGCTGCATTCAAAATTCAAGGATCATTATACAAAATGTCTGACCTTGATATGAAATTAAAATGTAACTAAGGAATTTGAACAGGAAAATTTTAGCTGAATAAAATCTACAGGAACACAATATTTAATCATATCTTCAAAAATAAAATCAAGGTGGCTGGGGGCATTAGAGTCCTATATGTAAAGCCCAAACACAGTCAGACGGGTGGGTTACTTGTTTTACGCTTTTACTAGCCAAAAAACACTTTCTAATAAACTGGATTCGATTTGACTCAGTGTTCCTTGAAAGAAAAGGCTGGTTTTGCAAGACAGAAGGCGATTCCTTGTTTAAAACAACTAGATCAAAGGTCCACATATGCAGACTGCCAATTTAAGCAACAAATTGAAGACAGACATCAAATACTAGTAATGGCTTGGATAGTTGGACTGCGAACAATGCCAATGGATGAACTAAAAAGAGAATAGAATCCAACGTCGACTAATCATTAAGTTGCCTCAAATTCAGAAACTGTGTTCACTAAGTGCAGATAAGCATGCAAGTTTTGACACATACTTTATTTTATCCTTTAAGCCATAAATAAATTTGTGCACTTCAAACTTAGGTACCATGGAGCACACCTCCATCTGATTTCAGACTTACAGGCTAAGAGTGATAGTAACAATAAAATCATACCACACTTTCAGGAACCCCCGGAGGGGGTAATGAGAGATTCCTGGGTGGAGGCCCACGAAGATGTGATCTCTTGTCAAAACGCCACTCCCCAATCTTTCCATATGTCAGCTCTCCCTGAACCATCACAGGTAGAATAAGGTAACTTAAGAAAAACAAATACAGACTAACAAAGCATACCTTTTCACAAAAAATGAAAATTATGCAACAGAACACTTCTAAGCAAATGCAAGAAAATTAAACAATGCCACAGTTTTTAAATATCAGGTATCTGGTTTAAAAAGCAACTGGATAAAGGAAGGAGAGAGCTTTGTACCTTCATGTTGTAATCACACCCATAAGTGTAGTGGATGATGAACTTCTTTCCAACTTCCAAATCCCATGGTGGCTGAAAACTTAGAGAGGTTCACATGAGTGATGTCTGGGTAATTTGAGGAAATGGTAACTACAAAAAATAAAAACAAAAACCAAGAGTTATCATGCACACCTGTAGCATAAAGTCTTTACGAAGTGTATGCCGCACTCCATGCAATGCTGATGCTACTGCATATCCGTACCTGAAGAACAAAGAAATGGCAGCAAATTGAAACCATCAAAAAGATTATTATCATGCGCCGAAAATATGATGAGCACTCATGAATTCATCCAAAATACCACTCACATTTCCAGCACCCAACCAAAAGCCTTATCAGTCTCTGGATCATCTTTCATCCTCAAAGAAACATTCATCCATGTAGGAGCAATTTTCTCCAGAATAGACTGCAACAATTAATTTAGCCACCACATTATTAAAGGCAATATCATATAAAGTCAAAGCAAAAAATTCATCCTCCTATAACAGCAACATCAATGTGATGATGATGATAACGATGATGTCTCAATTCTGATAAATTATAACTCCAGGTGATGGCGTGCATTGTATTTCCTACCCCTAAGCGGAAGGTGCACAATTCATATCTTTATTGCCATCTGTGTCTCTTCCTTTCAAAAATTACTAAAACTACACATTCCCATTATTATTAGTGGTGTTATTACTACTATTATAGGCAACAATGTTGGTGTTGGAATATGCACTTTCTTGCCTTTAGACTCTGATTAGAACACGTGTTTAGTTTTTTAGTAGCTTTTGACAAACTGAATAAGATATATCTTCAATCAGAGAAAATCCCTTGAAATAAAATGAGATAAGTTGCCATGATGCACATAAGCGAACCAAGGGTTTACCCTCTTAATAATTACGGGAGAATTCCCAATTGGATCAACATTGGTCACAGGACCCATCTCCTTGGGGTAGTACTTCCTTATAATTTTCTCATGATCAGCCGGTTTTATATAAAAAAATGGGAACCCAGCTGGATGATCTCCATGAGCCAAATTCGGCAGAGGATTTACAAATATGTGATCAGGTTCTGCCATTAGAATGTATCTGCATCAGTCATAGAATGTACCAGGATTCAAATTATACAAGTCAAGAGAGCAAAATATAAAGTTTACAAGAATAATAATAAACTCACTCTGTGCTAGGATTCAGATTATACAAGTCAAGAGAGCAAAATATAAACTTTACAAGAATAATAATAAACTCACTCTTCCTCAATCGTGGCCTTTTCCAGCCATTGCACAAAAGCCCATGGTCTATTCAAGACAATATAGCCCTGGACACAACAATCAAATACATTGCAAATAAAAAATAAGTAACCTCATTACTGCTAGCCATAGACTATTAACTATATATCAGACATGATAAAAAAAAAGGACGAGTGGCAGCCAAAATGGACAAATCGACACAAGACTTTATGAGTTTGAATCCAAAAAGACAGAAATTAACTTGCCGACAGCCAAATTGTCATGACTCATCTTGCTGAGTTTTGGATGTGCACCATACATATATCCCCAAATGGAGCCTTTTATTTTGCACCACTTCTTTTGCGAATAGTTTCTTTCTGTCAATTCCACTTTGCCTACATTCATTATGTTACTTTTGGCAGACTCACTTATATGCTCACCTTCTACTCTATAAAATGGTTCAAATTATCGGTTGATATTGAGTTATATAACCAAAAGAATCATTGCTTGGAAGGTTTATTCCAAATTATAGATAACAAACACACAATAGAAAGAAAAATCTTCATTGAGTTTGTTCAGGTACTTAAAGTACCTGACATAACAACTCAACAAACACCCTACACAAATTGTATGGCAGATAACCTTTGATACTAAAATAAAACGGTTGCCCCATGAAAGAACAGTTGACTATGAGAGTTTTTGTAATAAATTGAGTATCAACATTCACTTTTACCATTATTATTCTTCATAGGCTTGAACAAGCACTTAGTTAATATTTACAAAAAAGAAACTTTTAGAAGTGAAACCGCTTGGACATAGCACTGACCCATCTAACAAGGAGTGTTGGAAGGGCTAGACTGTCGTGAAAAGCATGACTAGATGCTCCCCTACGCCCACGGCGAGGCGAGGTGCACTTGAAGCGCCTCAGTGAGCTTGAGGTGAAGTGACTCGGCTATGGCTTAAGCCCGAGGCTCCTGAGGAATGTGTTTTTTTCTCTAATGATGTCATTGATGTATTGCATATCATCGTATTAGAGTCCAAGTATAAATATCGAATTCTCATCCTAATTCCTAAACTCTTCCTGTGAAATTTGCAGATCTAGACAGATATAACTCCAAGTATAAATAATTATTTTGAACATTTGATCTTTGTCTTTTTCTTTTTCATCAATATCATACTCTCTTTTTGTGCATCACCTTTTGTCTATCTTTCTCTCTCATTGTTTCTTTATTTTTTCTTTTTGAAACTAGCCCCTAATTTACCAAAATCAATCTCTTTTCTTAAAGTACAAACCTTCCCATTTTGGTTCAATTAGCCCCTAATGCTATGAAATTAGCCTTTGTTCAAAGAAATATACCTCTGTCTTTCTTCTAATCTCCCTCTCTCTCCTATTCTTTTTATATCTACCTCTGTTTACTTATTAAACAAATAAGTAAATTGATAGCACATGTATGGCCATTCCTTCACATTATATATATGTACAGAAATCAAGAAACAAAAAATAAAAAAGAAATAATATTGTATGTTAAAACATGCAAGTTTTGTCCACATGATTAAGGCTGTAAACACACCAAGCTAGTCAAACCCTGCTCTCAATTCTCAAAGTTAGAGGTTTGCAAAATTAAGTCAGAAGATAAATGAGCCAAGCATCATTGTATATTTAAAGCTTATTAAATTATTAAAATCAGAACAATAAGCTATTATGCATTCCATGCTATACAAAAAACCATAATTGGGCTTGACTGGTGATTGGCTCAGTTAAAAGGGCCAGGAAAGATCAGCCTGAGAGACAGATGAGCCAAGTTTGAGCAACCTACTACCACGCTCAACTCGACTCATTTACACCTATACACTTAGTTGGTCCAGATATCTATCCCAGTTATTTTATTAATAATCCAAGTTTTCAGCACATTCTTTTTGTAAGTTAATGTGTTTCAGCTAAAAAACATGTCCTCATAATACGTATGCTAAGTANGTATAAATATCGAATTCTCATCCTAATTCCTAAACTCTTCCTGTGAAATTTGCAGATCTAGACAGATATAACTCCAAGTATAAATAATTATTTTGAACATTTGATCTTTGTCTTTTTCTTTTTCATCAATATCATACTCTCTTTTTGTGCATCACCTTTTGTCTATCTTTCTCTCTCATTGTTTCTTTATTTTTTCTTTTTGAAACTAGCCCCTAATTTACCAAAATCAATCTCTTTTCTTAAAGTACAAACCTTCCCATTTTGGTTCAATTAGCCCCTAATGCTATGAAATTAGCCTTTGTTCAAAGAAATATACCTCTGTCTTTCTTCTAATCTCCCTCTCTCTCCTATTCTTTTTATATCTACCTCTGTTTACTTATTAAACAAATAAGTAAATTGATAGCGCATGTATGGCCATTCCTTCACATTATATATATGTACAGAAATCAAGAAACAAAAAATAAAAAAGAAATAATATTGTATGTTAAAACATGCAAGTTTTGTCCACATGATTAAGGCTGTAAACACACCAAGCTAGTCAAACCCTGCTCTCAATTCTCAAAGTTAGAGGTTTGCAAAATTAAGTCAGAAGATAAATGAGCCAAGCATCATTGTATATTTAAAGCTTATTAAATTATTAAAATCAGAACAATAAGCTATTATGCATTCCATGCTATACAAAAAACCATAATTGGGCTTGACTGGTGATTGGCTCAGTTAAAAGGGCCAGGAAAGATCAGCCTGAGAGACAGATGAGCCAAGTTTGAGCAACCTACTACCACGCTCAACTCGACTCATTTACACCTATACACTTAGTTGGTCCAGATATCTATCCCAGTTATTTTATTAATAATCCAAGTTTTCAGCACATTCTTTTTGTAAGTTAATGTGTTTCAGCTAAAAAACATGTCCTCATAATACGTATGCTAAGTAATAGGGATCGTGTAGGAATTAGATAGATATTATAGATTAATTATGATAGTTATTTAGATACTTTTAATATTTATCTTTTAAGTATTTTCTTTTAACTTTTAAGGGTTTAGTTGTCATTTTGATTATTTATTTATTTTAGGATTTGTGATCTGTTTATATATATAGGATTTGTAAACTCCTTATATATATAGGGGATACATATTTGTTGTGGGATACTTTTGATTATTATTGATTACTGATATTGAATCCTAATATTACTTCTTCCTCAAATTCTCTCTCTTTTCTTATCTCCTTCTCCCTTCTCATTCCTAATTCTTCCCTACTATGATCAACATTAATTTGATATCAGAGCAATTACAGTCTACATAAATTTAGTATCAGAGCCTAATCTCAATTCAACACCGCCACTGCTATAGAATCTATTCAATCATCATTAATTAGTTGTATTGTTGTTGTTCACCGTCATCACAAAGCCTTTGTCAAAATTCCCAACACCGCCACCAACAACGACAACATAAAACCAGTGTCACCCAAATAGCCAAAAAAAAACTTTTGTATTGTCCTGGTGTTCATCACTGTTCTGGTCTCGTTCTAGGGAAAAAAAAAATTTATTGTTCATCACGACTGTTCATCGCAACTGTTCAGTATTATAGAAGCATCCTCAGTAAGTTTCAGAAATTACAGAAACACCTTAAAAAGTTTCAGAAGTTGCAGAACCACCATCAGAAGTTTCAAAAATTATAGAATCTTCCCCCAGAAGTTCTAGAATTGCAGAAATATCCCATAAAATTACAGAATCATCCCAAAAGGTTTCAGAATTTTCTCTTGATTATGATATGCACTCTCTCATAGAATTTGAGACTAATATTTTTATTCATTAAAAAATTAGAAAATTCGCAAAGGGTTCAAAACATATTTTCTTCTATTTAAGTTTTCTCATTTTTCGTAATTATCAATTGCATTCTTGAACTCATTCTTATGTTATTCTCATCTTTCAAAGTCAATCATGAGTTCAGATGATTATTATGATGCCTATTCATATACTTATCCACCATCAAGAATGTCTCAAGTTCACAGTTCTCCACAACGTCATCACTATACTTATTTCACTGATAGAGTTGCTCGGATTCATCATATAGTCCATAGTAAGTTTGAGTTTTATTATGAAGATTATCAACTCTGAGACACTTAGGTCACATAATAGTTACCAACGTCATGCTTTCCAAAGTCATCACAAGGTCAATTTGGGTCTATCTTCAATGACATTAGTGACCATTCAAAAGTCCAAACTACCCTAGAGAAAAAGGTTGAAATCTTTAAAATTGGAGTTGCTAATACTAAACATTCACTTGACCAATTACGTGAAGAGTGTAGAGGGATAAAAAATTAATTATTTGAATTAATAACTCAACTTTCTTACTTGACTAAAATTCTTGCAAGTCAACAAATGAAAGAAAATAAGGACAAGCCTCCAGTTTCACCTAATGTCGGACACCCGCATAATGATAGTCATATTTCTATTCCGTTGGACCCTCATGCTTTCCATCTTTCAAAACATACTTTTAATCGTTTGAACATTGACACTAGTGATGAGATAATTTTTGATCCTATCATGTTTCCTACCTTATCGGAGCCAAAAATTGGATCATCACTAATCACTGAACTTGAGAAAAAATCCATTCAGTTGGTTCCTATGCAAAATGTTGAACATATTGAACTATCTATTTTAGAATCTGTTGACAATTATTCTATGTCTACAATTCCCAATCATGATGGCATTGTTGTGGATTCTTCTCCACCTAAGATTGTTGACATTGTTTTGAATTTTGTCCCACTTGAGAGTGTAAACTTTATTTCTTTAACTATCGTCAAGTGTTCAATTGAGTCTGCACTTTCTTTTTTTCAACACCAGGGTGTTATAATTACTCCTTTGTCATTGATGTCTTGTCTCATTGAATGTCTTTTGTTCAAATCTAATAGAAATTATTTTGCTATTCTTGAGTTTGGATCTAATGTTTATTTGCTTAATTTTTTATTGAATGTTAATATTAGTCCAGATTTTTATTTAGAGGACATACTACTTAATCGAGGTACTCCAAAACCTCCTATTTTTTATCCAATGTTTCTACAGGTGGAATTGCTTCTTCGTCAACACTGGCTGCAGTTCTTATCTTTTCACTTCCATCGCATATTTTGGGCCAAATAGATGATGTATTACGTGACCAAATTTACATTATTACAAATAAAGATTCTTGCATTAATTATGATCGATGAAAAGATGTTGATGATTCTTTCATTCTAGATGAGGCGTTCTGTCATTTTCATGCTGCTCTCTTAGAGTACTTCTGTTTTGAAAACTCTCCAAATGAAAGTTTTTCTCAACCGGAGGAAAATGATAGGGATCACGTAGGATAGATATTATAAATTAATTATGATAGTTATTTAGGTACTTTTAATATTTATTTTTTAAGTATTTTCTTTTAACTTTTAAGAGTTTAGTTGTTATTTTGATTATTTATTTATTTTAGGGTTTGTAATCTCTTTACATATATAGGATTTGTGAACTCCTTATATATATAGGGGATACATATTTGTTGCAGGATACTTTTGATTATTATTGATTACTGATATTGAATCCTGATATTACTTATTCTTCAAATTCTCTCTTTTCTCATCCCCTTCTTCTTATTTTCTCTCCTTCTCTTCCTCCCTTCTCATCCCTAATTCTTATCTACTATTATCTACATCACTAAGGGCCCATCAAAAACTACAATAAGGCTGTGACGCTTGCCTTGTGATTACTAATGAATATTATGGTATAATGGTGACATATAAACGTAGCCAGAAAAAAAATTCTAGCAAAACTGGCAGTAAAAATAGTTACACTACATTTAATTGAACAATCAACTTGATCAGAACACAAGCATGCCTAATCTTATACCAGTTTGTCTAAAAGGACAAATGGGTAACAAATACCAACAGGATGGGGGTGGAAAGAACTCATACAGGATTATGGTCAACAGGATACCAGTCCAACATGCATGCATGTCAAGGCAAATGATATAGCATACAAGTTGAAATTCTTCAAACTTAAAACCATTCCATAACATCAATGTTACCAAATACAGCCGCATAGCAATTAGAAAGTTGGTGAAATAATGTTCTTTGTCAAAGTGTATCTTACATATGAGGTTGCTGAAAACAAATTCAAAGAAAGAAAACAGAAATGAAATCAAGTGCATCTCCTATCAGGTGGCAGATTAAACAGTAATCACGGAATCGATAACCCAAAAACTTCTAGAGATCCAAACATTGAAATAATGGATAGGATTCTCACCCGATCTAGCCCAGCTGGAAGAGGGTCAACAACGAAACTTGGAATCTCTTCCATCAAATTGTCAGGACTTCCCGAATGCAAAACCCGAGTAAAACCACCCATACCCGATCCAGGCATGTCTTTCATCTTCTTATACCAGTAATACATAATCCGACATTGCCATTTACTATAAGGTGCATCAGTTGCAGTAAGAGCAACATGGAACCGAACATTCGGGCTTGCTGCTCCCTTCAACTCCTCAGGCTTCCTAAATATGGGATCAAACCAATCCAAACCAGTGGACACCCATTTCCCAGAATTAACAGATTGATTGTGCATTACCATAGTTACCAAATTATATGTAGCAAAGAAGAACCCTAACGCCAATAGAACAAGTAGTAAAGGTGACGCTCGTCCCATGTTTTTCCTCAGTATCATCCTACACCAATAAAAATTCAACGAATTTGCTAATTCTCCACTATCAACATAACACAATTGTCTACTCTATAACCGCTCCAATGTAAGAACTTCAATCTTATAAAACGCCGCCAATTCGCTGGTCAACACCCAATTCTCGCATAAAGGCTAGACCAATATACAAATTGACAGTGATCATCACACAAATAAATCTGCGTTCAAAATTACAAACAAATGGATGTAAGTCATTATGATTTCAAGCTATAAACATGGGCAGATTAATACAAAAACAATGGAGCAGTCCATAGTACAATATATTTAGGAAGAGACGCTGACAGAACATCACATATCAACTACGAATTATAGATATATGAAATATTTATAGCACAGATCTGTATTTATGTTGAAAAGAAACCACATGGGCATTGTCAAAACACCAAAAGAGAACAACCCAGAGAGAGTGAGAGAGATTGTGTTATGTGTGTATCGGTGTGTTAGAATGTACTGTTAGACTGAAAACGACCAAGATCAGAACAGGTGGTGAATAAGAAAGAGACATTGACGGTGATCGATTGAACTGCAAAAGATAGAGAAGAGGACAACATTACCAGGGAGGGAGGGAGGGAGATGCAGAGCGTAGATTTCAACGCTTGCTTACGCGGAGAGTTCGAAAGTTGGATCAGCATTCATTTGTATACAATTAATTAGATAAGTATCTCATGGATAACGTTAATACGTTTTCCAATTTTAATATCACTTTTATTGTCTGCTAGGGCCGACTAGATGTAAGTGGGCCTTATCTAGAAGCTTTAAATGAGGTCTTTTTTATTTTTAATTAAAAATTATTTTTCTCACTTTTTAACACACAAATTTAATGATTAAGTTTTTATATTTAAGTTTTGCTATTATTCTTGTGACATAATTGATTGTAACTTAAATTTTATAACTTTTTAATTCAAAAATGCTTATTTAGAATTTTTTAATGGGTAAGAGATAGAGCTTCTATAAGTTAAAAAGAGTAAAATTCCATAAGATGGTGATCGTTGAAAAAGTTTTCAAAAGCTAAAAAGAGTAAATATTAATAAAAAGAGAAAGATGATTGGGTTTTTTGTGTGTTTAGTTTGGGTTTTTTTAGTTTTAGCTTGAACTTTTTTTATGATACTAGTAATATATGACGAGCGTTGCACGTGAATGAATATTTTAAGAATTAAATTAACATAATTGATACAATGAAGACCCAACTCACAAAACATGCATATNAGTTTGGGTTTTTTTAGTTTTAGCTTGAACTTTTTTTATGATACTAGTAATATATGATGAGCGTTGCACGTGAATGAATATTTTAGGGATTAAATTAACATAATTGATACAATGAAGACCCAACTCACAAAACATGCATATTTTATAGACTAAAATTAACATTAACCCCAAAATATAAAGAATATTAAAATTCTAAAATTCAAGTTTTATTTAAAAATATACTATAATCTATTTTTATATTTTTTTTTACTTGAATTTTTATATAAACTCTAAATAAAATATGATAAGTTTATTGTTATTGAAGATTTATGTTGATTTAACATAAATTATTTTAACAAAACTAAATTTAATGGTTTAAATTCTGGATAAAAAAAAATCGCGTATGTAGATATAATGTTATCTTTTATATTTGAAATGAATAATGATAGATTGATGAAGTTTTTGAAGATTTTTTCAAAGTTTTATTGAAATCTATAATGATGCATACATTTTTTTAAAAGTAACATAATCAATCAAAAAGTTTCATAGATACTTATATTTATACATAGATAATACAAAATTAAAAGAGATGTCAGAGATAATTTATAGATTTAAACACATAAAGATATAGTGGTAATTTAAATATTTAACTATGCAAGAATAGTGTAGTATTAAAAATTATTTGTAAGGGTAAAATAGTGAATCAAAAGATTTTCATATTAAGGTACTTTTATTAGTAATAGTAGTAGGTGTGTGTGTATATATATATATATATATATATATATTTAATTGCGTCTATACAAATTAAATTTTTTGGGTCATATATAACATTAATTTTTAAAGACCATAACATTATTTTGGGCCTCTCTTTTTGGGGGACCTTGTATAAACATTTAAGTTGTCTACTTATTGGGCTAACCTGTTTGATGGGAGGATGAAAAAATATGAGGGATATAATTTTCATTCTTTGAGGAGGAAAAATACGTTATCTCCTTGTTGGGTATGATAAATGAAAAGTTGGAGGGATTAATTTTTTATTTTTTGGTATTAAAGAAAAAATGAAAAGAAAAACAAATGTGNAAGTTGGAGGGATTAATTTTTTATTTTTTGGTATTAAAGAAAAAATGAAAAGAAAAAAAAATATGTATAAATTTAATTTACCGTTATACATTTACAAATGAAAAACAATTTTTCTATGACAAATAAACTATTTAAAATAACACACTTGGTGGGAGATAGTAGATAATTTGTCTATATCGAACACTTTATCAATTTTTTTAACAAAATAAAATTTTCAGTCATAATTTATTCTATGAGATTGTTAAATCAGAGAGGGAGAGAGAGATTGTTAAATATGTTGAGACACCACATTGCATTTTTGGAGTTGGATCAAGAGGTCGTTCACTGGTAGTCTCTACATGAAGGTCGTGCGTTAATCTAATGCAGCTCACAGGGGCAAGGTGCTCCGGGTTCTGTTGGAGTGTAGTGCTTGTATTGGTGAAGTGATTTTGGTTGCACAATTCTTTTAACTCTTTGTGGTCCTAGTTATGTATTATTGTCGAGAGAAGGGCTGGTAAAAAAGGGCACCGATGTGGTACATATCGAAACCACCTTCGACACCCAAGTCGGTGAATGAAATGGGTCAATGAAATAGTAAAATGTATGTGTGTGGAGAGGATTAGTGACTTAACAACCAATATTCTCCTTTTTCTTGATATTACTTACCCTCCTCCCTTCATTAATGAGGGGTATTTATAGATTATTATGAGTGAGAATGTGGTTTAAGTAGTTGGCATACATATAAGTTGAGTGTTGCTTAAGTGATAGTGCCGGCACCAACATGTTTCTTTGCACTAGGAGTGTGTCAGTGATTCATTAGAAGGTTTTAGTTAGTGTTAGATTGTGTTAGGGAGTTCCAGGTGGTAGTTTCTTGGGAAACAATGCTCTTTTTTCAGCTCATGTCCTAACTCAGATTTTGAGGTCTTGATGTAACTTCCTGTGATGAGGTCGAGGATCGTGGTCCAAACTGATACATTTGGAACTCGGCCATCACCATCGAAGTCACATTACAAATTCAAAGTTGTTGAGTCAAATTGGAGTCATTTTCTTTCAATAAACTAATGGCAACTTGTGTATTAATGCACGAAATTTACCACCCTAACCCCACTCCTCCAATGGATTCAGCTCCTCTATTGTTTGAGAGGAACAACAGCCTCTGCTATTCTTTTAAATAAAAAAACCAATCAGATCCAAAAATTCAATTTGGCCCAAAAAAAATAGGCCCAAAATTGTTGAAGACCCAAGCCGTTGAACCAATCAATCCCAAAAGTTAACTTTTGGTGTCATTCTTGATGCACTCCTGAACCAATCAGTTCCAAACGGATCCTCTGGTTTTGAGATTCTTAGTGCACAGTTGGAACACCAAGAAATGAATCAAGATTTTTTTATTCATAAGAAACGAATCAAGATTTGTTTATTCAGTTTTGCGATTTGTCTCCTTCGTCCGTTTCAGGTATTCTTATGTCCATTTCGAATATTTTTAAGTGAATATATGTATAAACACACACACACACATATATATATATATATGAATATACATACACACCCATAATTTTACATTTTTATTAGTTGAATTTTTCTTGACCTAAATTTAAGTTTTAAAATATTGAATCTTTGATTGTTTTGTTGATTTCTTTGATTTTAATTAAATTTTATGATATGATTTAATTGTGATGTTTTGGTTTGTTGTTAATTTATATTGATCATGGGTTCGAACCTCATCGTCACTTTCTCCATGTAACATACTGTTAAAAAAAAATACATTAAAGCTTGTTTTAGTGTTGATACAGTAGTTAGTCCATTTTTTTTTGTAGGTACTGACATCTATAATGAAGTCCGTTGTAGGTAATAAAATTGTGAACACTCCAAGTATTGGTATGTAGTTTGACTCGGATGAAAATGTTTATGAGTTTTATAACAAACATGGAGGTTCAGTCGGATTTAGTGTGAAAAAAGACTATCACAATAAAAGTAAGAAAGATCATATCATGATTTATAGAAAGTATGTTTGTTGCAAAGAGAGACAAAGAGATGTGAATAAAAGGGATTGGAAAGTAATAAAATCGCGAGCCAAGACACGAACCAAAAGTCTGGCTCACATGTGCATATCCCTCAATCGGGAAATTGAAAAATTTATCGTGGTCAACTAGGAGAATGATCACAATCATCCATTGCACCTTAAGGAATGTGTGCATATGATGCTATCTCAAAGGAAGGTTTTTACNATTGTCGAGAGAAGGGCTGGTAAAAAAGGGCACCGATGTGGTACATATCGAAACCACCTTCGACACCCAAGTCGGTGAATGAAATGGGTCAATGAAATAGTAAAATGTATGTGTGTGGAGAGGATTAGTGACTTAACAACCAATATTCTCCTTTTTCTTGATATTACTTATCCTCCTCCCTTCATTAATGAGGGGTATTTATAGATTATTATGAGTGAGAATGTGGTTTAAGTAGTTGGCATACATATAAGTTGAGTGTTGCTTAAGTGATAGTGCCGGCACCAACATGTTTCTTTGCACTAGGAGTGTGTCAGTGATTCATTAGAAGGTTTTAGTTAGTGTTAGATTNAAGTAGTTGGCATACATATAAGTTGAGTGTTGCTTAAGTGATAGTGCCGGCACCAACTGTTTCTTTGCACTAGGAGTGTGTCAGTGATTCATTAGAAGGTTTTAGTTAGTGTTAGGGAGTTCCAGGTGGTA